TATTTAACAAACCATGACCGTGCAGTGTGGATGCAGCACTTACTTAATGTTACAAGTCATGTACATTGTGCCAGTTCTCTATAATCAATAAGTTGAATTAATCAACATTTACTGTATTCACAATTGTACATGGAGTCATGGACATCTACAATGTACATGTACACTGTATCCATTTCTTTAATTCCTATAAATGTACATGTACAGTGTACATACATGTAGATATTGATTATCCCTGCTACAGGACTGCAGTATGTTAGGCCTTTATTATGCTAAATGTACGGTACTTGTGTACATTTTATATACAGGGACTCACAAGTCAAAATACAACGAAATGTGATACAATCTTTCTCAATGCATTGTAACAAATGATTGAACTCTGATGGAAGTACACTGTACCAAGATTACCTAAACAAGCATATCATAAAGATACGGGTATGGCCACAGGTGTGTAGTATCATGTTACACTTTACAGTCTACAGTGTACATGTAGTCTATTAATCACAGTCTGTACTCGACTACCATCTTTTTAGTCATAAAAGTCATTTACAACCGAAAGATATTCAAATTTAATTGCATAAACAAAATTATGAGCTCTCTATGGCCTATGGGGTGGATCCTAGTTACTTTGGATATAAAATGTATACATTGTAGGTCTTTGTGTACATGTACTTCATCAATGCATTATTTCAGTGAAAGTGATTGGTAAAATCATAATAACAGTGAATACTGTGCAAGATGCAAAATACAGAAAGAGATTCGTTTCCATTCTTTTGTTTTGGGTTGGGGGGGGGGGGTTCTGTGCCACCAATAATTAAAAAAATTAGTCAAATGTAGTTGCCATGTTGGGCATTGAGCTCTGACTATGGTGTACTCAATATTCTACATAAATGGCATCTACATGTATGAATAGTGTACATACATTGTTCAAATCCATTTCATACGTACAAATGCTGATAGACCAACACCAGGAAACACCTTCTTTCCAGAACATCTGGTTTTCAAGGATTTCAACTATGCTGCAATGTTCACCATAAAACAAACTTTTGTGCAATATAGTATTCACTTATGGATTTTAAAGAGTCAGGTTATGATGGAAAACTTTATTTAATCGTTCAAGTGATGCTCTATTGACTCAAAACAATGACAAACCCTTGCTACAGTGTAAATGGCTCAAGTTTTAGGTTGTGTATGTACACTGTACAGTACAATGCAACTGAGTTTTAATACTCCTACAGGACATGGTGAAATAATTGATCATTTTTGTGTTCAAAGTGCCAAGTTACAACTTTTTTCATTTATCTATTACAGATAATTGTGACGTGAACATGTACATTTTAGATGTAGCCTACATCAAGCCATACGGTTTGTCAGGCAATGCAATTTGCATTCTGACTGATACACGTACAACTAAACAGGTGAATGCTATACATGTACAGTGTACAGGTGTGTACATGTATCTCATCAGCTAGTAAGCAAATATTAATCGACTACGAGGGTAATGGTGCAAACTATCATCGCCGAGCTGATCTCGGGGCTACTGTATCTTCTCGAGCCGCAAGGCGAGGGAAGATGGTAGCCCCGAGATCACCGAGGCGATGATACTTTGTATCCATTGCCCGAGTAAAGGAGGTTAATATTTGTTTTATATCCCACATCGGCAATAAGGTCTATTTAAAGTGAATTTTATATACCGGTAATAATAAGAACTGATTCTGCAGACAGTTTAGCTTCAGCTAGATTTTACAAAGCGCAACATGCATACATGTAATACAGTCGATGCGCGCTCATTTGACATTTACATTGACTTTGACATTTCGCGTAACCTACTTTGCTATGCGTATTCAATGGGCAAGGGTGGGCAAGTGGGTAGCAGCAAAAAATTACTTTACAATAAGTACAATCTCAGGTAGATAGTACTTATCCATACCATTTTCGTGCTCTGTACAATCGCAATGCAAACAACTATACATGAGGGATATAATAAACTTTATTGCATGTACCAGCCGGTATACAGATTGAAAATGGCAATTATCAGAGAGAAAGATATCTACAAGTACATCGTCTACAGTCTAAACGCTGTACATTGTACATGTAGAGTACTAGAATCTCAAAGCATACTATCGCGTGCTATGCACTTGTAATTGTGCTGGCATCATATCCAATTTGCAAAATGACCAAGATTCAATTTCAATTTTCAAACCTTACTACCATCAGTCATGTCAGCTAGAGACAAGATTAATCAAATAACCACAAGTCTACCCTCTTATCCTCTACAATTGTTTCTTCCAAATACAAAGTGAGAACCAGCAAGTATTATACAGACAATGTTGATGTGTTCACTATTGTGGGACTGCAAAGAATTTTTTTATCTTACAGGGACAAGAGTTCGTTGGCCGGGTGGCAGAAGGGCGTTAGCCCGCAAGCGAGTCGAAAACTACTTTTTGAATTATTCGCATTCAAAAATTTGTTTTATATTTAAACTGCTTTCCGTCCCAAAATTGGTTTATAACATAATAGAAATGTTGTAGTAGAACACGGCCACAATTTTTTTCTCAGAAATAATTCAGTTTTATAAAAGCTTGAGGCAATTTAGTGCTAACGCCCTTCTGCTTAAAGTTTCATTATTGACCTCAAATTCCAGCTAACTCCCTTCTGCCAGCCAGGTGACGAGTTTATGGCTTCATTCAAGGTTCAGTTGTGTACTTTTTCTATAAACAAGCATGTTTCTCATCCTTCATCCCATTCTTTGCTGTAAGTAGTACAACCTCATCTACATGTACATTAAATGCTGTTTCTAGGCATAATGTGTCTCTAAAAAAAGAAATTAATACAAGTGTGTATTGTACTACCAGGAAGAACTCTCTCTGTTATTTTAAAACATGGCTGGGTTTATTTCTCACTTGAAAGTTGAAACCGAGCATTGTGGGCGACAGTGGCCTAGGGATAAAATTTGCAGAGTCTAATGGATTTTTTTCTTCAGAGCAACACTATATGAAAATATCTCACTTGAAGTTTCTAGTCATACAGTAGCCATTTTTTTTATTACACTAGTAAAGACCACTGAGAGTTGATCTAAAAGTTTAATATTGATGATGAATTTCATTATAGCCTGGGCTTTTCTTTCCTCATGAGAGAACCATTAAAGTTGGCCGCGCTTGGCTGTGACACTGCTTGTATAACAATATCATCATTACAAAGTGTGCAATATCATTACTGGAACATCTCCAACTTCCTGATATGTTGTGTGCTTGGTTGAAGGGATCCTTGATGATCTTGGCAAAATGGTCTGGACTAAGTATGAGACTCAATGAATGAGGTACCTGTACATGTACATGTACATGTACATCACTTTGACTATCCATGGACGATCTTCAGTCCTTTTTTACTACGAGTTTTACTACGAAAACAGTCAAACCAATTTTACACAACAAAATGACAAAATACAGGCCTAAAGATACAGTGTATCGCACCAGTTCTGTATGCTCTACACTGTTAATGCAAATGCATGCAATCATGTGGCAGTTTAATAAATGTCCTCAAATAAGGACAACGTTAGCCTTCATCTCTCTCTCTCTTTTTCATTTATAAAAAACTATCAGCGAGAGGCTTGGTCACTCTTTCATGTTTTTTGATGTTCTGCTTCTGGACTGGATCCTAGATTTGACAAGGACACTGGGGCTGTACCTGTGGAACCTAAGACACTGGGGTCATTAAACCCTAATATCAGTGACTGAGGCTTTTAAACGATGGACCTTAAACACATTAGCGCCACAAACTCCTGTTATGTGCACTGTCAGAGGTTACAAAAACCATTGAAAATCAGGGAAAGCTAATGTACAAATGTACATGTAGTGCAATCAAACTTTAAAGAAAATGTTTTCACCTGTCTTTTCAGGCTTAATGAATTAATAACCCACCCATAGTTTATCAAAATTACCACTGCCAGTCCCATGGTTTCATTTTCTGACAGAATAAGTCTGTACTAGCTGGATGATGACCTTTCTTACTTACTTTACTTTACTTTACTTTAATACACAATGTTGTAGGTCTAAGCCTGTTCATCGATCCAGGATTCTTCCATGGTAACTGCGATTTGTGGAGGGCGGAGGTTGTGGAATAATATGAAACAACAGACTCAACAGGATTAACACCTACTGGGCCTGTGCAGGTAACAAAACTTGTTGAGCTGAGCTTCTTGATAAAAAAACATTTGAACTCTCTCCATAATTGAAGTGATTTCACTGTGAACAAGCACCATTCAGAGATTCCATGATGATTTTCATGAGGCATTTCACAGTGACTTTGTACAGAGACTTTCACATTTATGAGCCATAAATCCTTGGGAAGACTAACAACCCATAAAAGTAGACCGTGAACTGGGGGTATTTTATCAAGCGGAATCCATTTTTGCATTGCCTGCGCATGGATCGGGAAACCGAAACCTGCTGAGAGCCGAAGAAAATAATTGTCTGAAGACATTCCTTTTTGTAAAGGATGCGATTTGTCCGCGTTTCCGAGGATATCCTCGTTTATGCGGACGATCTTCATTCTTTGACCAGCGCCCCTACTAATAGGAGGCTAGTTGGCTCGGTTGGTAAAGCGTCTGCCTGTCTAACTAAAGATCTCGGGTTCGAATCCCAGGGGGTAGGGGGCAGGGTAGGGGTAGGGGGCGGGGTAGGGGGCGGGGCAAGGGGCGGGGCGGCGAGCCGGAGGGGAGGGTAGTGACCGATCCAGGTAAACACGGCCCCACTAAAAAGACAGACAGTTTTTCGTCATTTTACACTAATCCTAACCATAACCCTAAACCTGCAAAAACTGACCGTTTCTGCAGCAGGGCCATGTCCCCGGGTCCGAGTTAGCCAGAGGAGGGTTGCTAATTTTTCTTTCATAATTAAGAATAAGATTAGATATACGGTCTAGATCTGTGGCCTATGGGCATTGCTATATTTTCTCTTGGTCAGAAACTCTTCTACATCCTTGACCCACAAAATTATACTCACCAGTTGAAATTCTCTTCTTCTATCAAACGCACTTTGAATCCCACTGTCTTTCCACAGTTCCACACAGGGTTGCACGTATTGGACAAACAGAGGTGGTTCGAGCTGGGCAGCTTGAGTGTTGAAACTCATGACAAACTCGGCATGCTTTTCGTTGCCTGAATCACCCCATGGTATACCCAACTTGTCACGGGCATCTGCCAACACTTTCATACCCTTGATAATATTTCCATAGATGATGTTACGGAACTCTTTCACTTCTTGATCTGTAAATTGTTGTTCATGGATGATTTTCATCTGCTTCAAAAACGTGCTTTTCCCACTCTCGCCTGCACCGAGGAGCAACACCTTCACTTCTCTTCGAATGTAATTTTTATCTCTCTGAAGCTGTTTGTCGATATCTTTGCTGTGATTCAAGGCCTGTTTATCCGTTGGCGTAAGACAGCAGGTCAGTAGAGTGCCTGCCATCTTGATAGGTAGACAATTATTGCAAGTTCTTTCGGAGAACTTTGTGTTTCTTTCGACGGTCACTGACAATCCAGCCAAGCAGCTACATGTAGCTCGCTAACAATTATACACGGGAAACATATCGCGATCGACAGCGCGTTTTTGACCCATCCATATCTCCGAGTCGTGGAGTGTACGAGTACGAGTAGCTTCACACACACACAGCCTGTGTACAGTGTGTATGTATGGAATAGTTCATACCACACCCATGACGTCACGAACCGGAAGTAAAACTGTGCGATTCCTCATAAATGGAAATTTCGACATTTTCGGGTATGACTGGATAATCATAAAAAATAGACTCGATAATTGATAGATAAAAAATGACAGTTATATGCAAAGCGAAGAAAAACTTTGTTTGAGTCATTTAAAACGTAATGAAAGCTATCGGACACCTTCGAGCTTGCGAGCGCGACACGAGAAAAATCCTTAATATCTAAAAACTGAAAATTATTGAAATACAGCAGGTGTTTTAACCGTGGTTAAATTACATAAAACAAACAAAATTAAACTAAAGTCACCCCCTTTACTGAGGTTTCTTTCCATAGCCTAATATCATTTTCTATTGATTTATGTAATATTTTTTTCTTGCTCTTAGAGGTATACTAGACATAAAATAATATGAACATGTAGTGCTGCTATTATTAACGAAACCATTATGCCTTTGACCTAGTTATTTTACTGCCAGTTGCTTATATAAATAGACCTTAATATAGGCTTATGTTTAGTCGTGAAAATATTATCTATAGACCTATTTAAATTTAGTACCGTTCTGACCATGCTCATACATATCCAAGTTTTATAAATCAATGTCGATTGTGCTAATTGCGATCCCCATTCTATGATTTATTATAATTGGTGTTTTGCTTTCAATTCCACCTCTCTTCTATTCTCATTATATAACTTCTCCAGTTTTTATACTTCTCCAGCGGTTCATTACCTGATATCTACACGTATTCCATTTGTGTTAATATAGTCATTTTGTCTTCCTTTCTGCATATAATGTCCTTCTGAGTTCTGAGTATATATAAGCACTTTCTTCCTTTAGTTTTTTATACTCTTATACGAACATTTCTTGGCTCTCCAGTATTCCATTCCACTCCTTAAAATAATCTTGCTATTTCCGACCAACATGAGTAGCAACTTCTCACATCTCCGTCCCCCCCCCCCCTCCTCCTTCTCCGTTTTTTTTCTTCTTCTTCTTTTTTTCCTTTTCTTCTTCTTCTTCTCTTCTTTTAATCATCATCATCTTATTCTTCTTCTTACTCCTCCTCTTGTTCTACTCTCTTCTTTCTTCCACTCCGTCTACTTCGGCTTCTGAGGGGGGGGGCACTTTATCTGACTCTCGTATATTCCTTTCCTTTGTTTTCTTATTTTGTATATAGAACTATAAACTACAAAACAAGCGTCTGTTTCGAGTCAAAATAATAACTCCATAACTGCAGGAGTTAGCGCCTTTGTGGCTCTCTCTGCATGTCTCTATACCCCCTCTCTCTATGTATCTTTCTCTCTCTCTCTCTCTCTCTCTCTCTCTCTCTCTCTTTTTCTCTCTCTATCCTTCTCTCTCTCTCTCTCTTAAGTTCACTTATGGTCAAACACGGCGAGTGGAAAAGCATATGACGCACCTTGGGCGGGAGGACTCGGATTCACGCTTACTTTTGACATCTCTTCGTATACTTTTTCTGAAATCTTTCCTTACCTATTCGAATCTGCTATAGTCAGGGAAAAAGGAAGAGACTAGCATGAATGTTTAGTTCTGGCTTCCTTCCCTTTATGAGGAGGTTGTTATATGTAGGGGCGGCCGAGCGACTTCAATAGTAGGGAGGCATCAACAAAAAAGGCACTTTCTGGAAAAGGGCACCTACAATTGGAAATCTCAAAAGCGAAGATATACAACTTTTTAGACATTGGTTTTTTACCCCTTAATTGTGATTACATTGTCAGGGATGATTTCGTTATCATGTTTCTCTTGACACATCGACATAGTCAACGCAAGTGACAAAGTACAAAAGTTAATTATCAGAGGTGGGAATGAGGCACTTCTTACACCTAAAAAGAGGCACTCACCAGGGATGAAAAAAAGGGGACTTATGAGAATGGAAAATGGGCATTTGTTGACGGAAAAGGAGCACTCAACAGATTTTGATAGGGGCATTTATCAGAGGTGTGAGGGCGCTTTTATGAGAAGGGAGAAGTGTCTCTTATTAGTAAAGAAAAAGAGGCACATGTTAGAATTAACGGGGCACCGTTATCAGAGATGAAAAATGGTAATTATGAGAAGGGGAAGGGGCAGTTATAAAAAGGAAAGGGAGCATTTAATAGAAAGGAAAAGAGGCAGTTATTAGAGGTGAAAGGTGGACTCATTAGAGATGAAAAGAGCAATAATCGGAGGTGAAGGGGGCACTTATATGAAGTGAAAAGGAGTAACTTATCGTACCCTAAAAATGGTCATTTACCATAGATGAAAAGGGGCACTTATAAGAATGAATAGGAACATGTATGAAAAGGGAAAGTTTTTTTAATGGGGGCACTAACCGACACTTATCATAATGAAAAGGGGCACATTTTTGTTGTAAAGGTACTTTTACACGAGTTAAAAAAAGAGGTAGTTATTAAAAGGGGAAGGGGCACTTCTTACAAAGTAAAAGAGGCACCTCTCAGATTGGAAAAGGGCAATTATCAGAGGTGATGGGGACACTTATCAAAAGTGAAAAGGGGCACTTACTAGAGATTTTAAAAGGCACTTATGAGAATGGAGTATGGACACTTAATGCAAAGGAAATGGGAGCTTGTCGAAGGAAAAGGGGCATGTGTAAAAAGAAAAGGGGGCACTTATCAGAGGTGAGAAGGGAAGGGGCACTTTACAAAATAATAGGGGCACTTTTCCTATGTAAAAAGGGGCACTTATTACAAACTTAAAGGGGCAATTTTCATATGTAGAAAGGGGCACTTTTAGGGTACTTGAATAAGTGGGGGCACTGTGCCCCCTCCCGAAATCGAGAGTGGGAGATAGAGAGAGAGAGAGACAGACAGAGAGAGAGGGGGAGGAGGAGGGAGAGAGAGAGGGAGAGAGAGAGAGAGAGAGAGAGAGAGAGATAGAGAGTACTTAATTGGGAATATAAATCGCTGTGAAATAAGAAAAAAATAAAGCTTGGCGAAAGAGAATAGCAGCCAGTGTCCTAATTTGATTCAGAGTACAAGCCAGGAATGGAAGAAGAAAATGCGTGTTTATAATATATAGAAGAGTTAGAAGAAGATTCTAGAAGAATATTAGAACAAAATTGTTTGGACCCCCACATATCGATAAAAGAATATATAATTTAGGTTTCTGTTGTAGGCCTACGCAGAAAACCTCAATTTTGTATTCTTTCATCAATATTCAACTTCATACATATTTGTTTTGAAAATCCTTGCAGACATGTGTTTTAAATGACCTTCTTTTTCACATTAATATGACACAGTTTTAGAAGGAGTAGAAGAAGAGGAGGAGGATGGAGAAAAGGAAGATGTATAAAAAGGAAAGGAGATGTAAGAAGGAAGAGACTCTAAAATTAGGTAAGAGGAAGAGGATACACAAAAGGAGAGAAGACAAGCTCCCAAAAAGTGCCCTTTGAACGGTTTGAACTGCTAAAATGCAGCAATTTTGATTAACCAAAAATGTCAATTTCAATCAAACCTTTATCATGAGTCATAAATGGTATCAAAGAATTAATTTTTTTTAAAGAAAAGTTTCATACATGTATCATTAAAAAAATTAAAATTAAAAATTAAATCATACCTAACTTATGATCGATATATTTGGCATGTGAGGGCGCTCGACCACTATATTGAAAAAACAAGATGACACATTTCTTGTCAGTAAATTCGAATATGATTAATTTTCTTTAATGGCGTCTTGAAATTGTCCATTGTAACTAAAGAGACAGCAAAATAATTTTAATGTGAAATACATTTATAGGTCACACAAACAATCTCTGTGTGCCAATGTATACATCATGGGACAGATGTTATAGCAATGGCTAGATCATCAACCGTTTTCAGTGCAAGATTCATCTACATAGGTGTCTTTAAAGTTTTCTACCTCCTCTTATGCCTCTTTATATTTGATTAATAATATTCTTTTTAAAGATCAAATTCTAATGCTCAACTCTGTATTAGCCTTACATATTCTTGTTTTTTCTTATATAGTGTACAGGTATTTGTGTTTCTCTCTCACGTAAACTCACATCTGGAGAAAAAATTAAACATAAAATAAAACGTAGTAATACACCCGTTTGATCTTCTTAACTTTCTCTTTTACCATCTGAATACATGTATGTTTGATGCATTCAATCAATGTCAGCCTGGAAACTTGTTTTCTTAAACTCTGTTAACCTCTCTCCTCTTTCTCCATTGTTGTGTTTCTCTCCCTCTCTCTCTTTCTCTCTCCAGTTCTCCTACAATGCTCATTTTTCAATACATGTATGTCAAAATGTTCTGTTATGGCCTTACCGGTATGTTTAAATGTACAATAATGTTTAAATGTACAATGTCTAACATTTGATAAATCACACAAACAATCTCTCTGTGCTACATTGTGTTTATAATGGGAAAGATATTAGCAAAGATTATTAAAGATCATTTAACCATTTCCAGTGCAAGATTAATCAATATCGGTATCAAATGAGCTGTCATGGAACTCAGACCGGAAATATGTAATTTTGCAGAGCTATTGTGTTGCACAAAGCACACATTGTGTGCGGGTAAGCCTGAATCCGATGACCGGGGTAATAATGTATCTGTAAAGCGCTAAGGCACATCGTTGGATCGGTGTATTGAGCGCTATATAAAAAAAACAGATTATTATTATTATTATTAAAGCAATCTTTCTGTCAGTCAGTGCCTATTGTTTTGTGCAAAATTGCACAGGTGGCAAACAAGCTACTGTGCAGAGAGCTTGCAAGGCAAAACAAGCAATCAAAGTGTTAAATCTCATCATATACATTTACCGGTACATCAAATTTCTCACACAACATCAACACTTAATATTACATCACACATTTATTAAAAGAAATAAGGAGAACACAGTTTAAGTCCATTCAGCTGAACCTGAAAATATATATAGTCTATGACAAAAAAAAACCCCACCATATACACATGGTGGCAACTGATGAATCCCACATATAGGTGATACATATAGGCACACAATGAAGTATAATAGCCCGATATACATGGTGATCTCACATTTGCTCCAGGCATTTTCTCATAAAAATATAGGGTCAGTGTTGCTTCTGACTTACTATGATGTTAGGTTAAGACCTAGAGTTAAGGTCAGCTTAATTAAGTTCTGGGTCCAGGACTGAAGTTACGATTTTGATAAGTGAAGGAAATTGACCGTGGAACAATTGTCGCCTAAAGATGTCTCGTAGAACCACAACCACAAAATATCAATGATAAACACAGGTGGAGAAGACAGCATCGCCTATGTGGCAAAGGAATACCTGTTGGCGTTTGATCAAATGCCTGAAACCCATCAATTTTTCTTGGCATAAAGTCTATCACACAGTCATAAAATAGCCTCACAAGGAGTCAAAAAGCCTGAAGTTGGACAACTGTCTCAAAATTAGCATCTCTTGTAGCAGCGAAGACAGCTTTAACAGATAACACTACTCAATATAAACAGGATATAAATGACTGATTAGAAATTAAATCTATCTTGAAATATCATTTAGAATCAACATGGTACAGCGGTTCATTGATTTGATGTTCACTGAAGAGTTTGAAGATTTTAACAAATGAGAATGTCCTAAGGTAATGAATTTTTTGTACACTCTTGCCTGTCTCAACCCAAGAGTTAAATGGCAACCAAGCAGGATTTTATTCAGAAAATTCAATGTGGGCTGATAACAGCTAAAAAAAACTACTTTGGGAGTACAAGGGGTGTACAAAAATGGAGGAGGACGACTGTGTTATTATTATTTTTTATTATAGCATAAAGATCAAATTACCAACTGTGCAGCTCCAAAGCAGACATAAGAATATCATTATTTATATAATGTATGGTATCAAAACATGATTCAAAACTTTGTATGAATCAAGTACTAAAGTCACAGCTCTTGCTATACAAAGATGTACATTACATTATTTGTTTCTGTAAGGTGAAGAGCTAGTACACATATATATATATAAAACTCCCAAACTTGGAACACAACTATTTCCTTGAAGAAAATACTACCACAAAATCACTTCCAATCCTTGTGTAGCTGAATCAGACTGGATCATCCCATTAGAAATTACCAGATATTCACAATTAAGAATAGTGATGAAGACATTTGCTTATAAATGAAATACTAGAAAATCTGATGCATGAACATTATCTTTCTTACTCTCATAATGCAGAGGAATGGATATCCACTCTTTTTCAGGGGTTATGAAAGATCATCTGCTTGGAGTTGAATCCACTCCAAATGTAATAGAATCCACTCTAAAGTAGTGGTAGAATTTACTCTTTTATTAGTTAGCCACTATGTTTGAGCATGGATTTCCATTCTTAACAAGATCATACCTAATATGACCCCCCCCCCCCAAAAAAAAAAAAAAAAAAAAAAAGATAATAAAATAAAAATAAATAAATAAATAAATAAATAATAATAATAATAATGATAAATAAATAAAATAAAAAATAAATAAAACAAGGGAAACGCTCTCGGCGGTCTCGCCTGCATAACGCAATTCAATATGATAAACCAGAACGTCAATGACGTAGCGCTCATCCGCATCTCACAACAACAAATATCGTAAATTTTATGTGGTACACTTTTGAACTGGTCAAAAATAGAAATTTGATGCCCTGGAAGGGACATAATTTCATTTCATTTGCATAAAGTACCATAAATAATCAATGGAGCAAAATCTCACAATTCTGTGTAGAAGTTTATTGTTCCAAATTTAGCTCTACCAGATAAGGCAAAATCGGTCAAGAAATGAGGGAAAAGAAGCAATTTTTGTTATTTTTGGAATAAATTTGCATAAATTACCATAATTAATTAATGGAGAACAATTTCAAAATTCTGAATAGAAGTTTAGTGAACCAAAGTTAGCTCTACGATATAAAGCAAACCAAATCAAAATCGGTCGAGAAATGAAGGAGAAGAAGCCTTTTTTGCGATTTCGAATAAATTTGCATAAATTAGCATAGATAATGAATTTCACGATTCTGTGTAGAAATTTTAAATCCCCTCCTAGCCCTATCATATGAAACAATCAGAATCAAAATCGGTTGAAAAATAACGAAGAAGAAGCATTTTGAAAATCTTAATGTTGATGCCACAACAAAGTCTAAGTTTGTTGACCTTAAATGGCCTTTGACCTTAACTTAGTGACCTGAAATTCTACTCACATGATTGGAGAGACTTGATAACCCTATAGTCCAAGTTTCATTGACTAAGAACTTATACTTTCAAAATTATATCAAAAATTCAAAAACTTAACCTTAGGTTAAGTTTTCGATGATGATGCTACAACATAGTCCAAGTCTGTTGACCTGAAATGACCTTTGACCTTGACTTTGTGATCTGAAATTCTACTCACATGATTGGGGATACTTGATTACCCTATAGTCAAAGTTTCATTGACTAAGAACTTATACTTTAAAAATTATACCAAAAATTCAAAAACTTAACCTTAGGTTAAGTTTTTGATGTTGACGCCGTCGCCGCCGCCGTCACCGGAAAAGCGGCGCCTATGTCTCGCTTTTTGCTACGCAGGCGAGACAAAAATGATTTCAACTCCTATACATTTAGAGAGTATACCTTGGGAACTAGCAATTGTGTTCAATCACAAAATATAACATCAGAGTCTTGTCAAATCACATAAATGTCCAGATAATTGCCTCTTCTTCAATTATCTATGATAATTGTCTCCAGCTCATGATACATACAGGTGTGTTAGATTTATATGTAGTGAAAGCCTTTCTCATGTGAGCAATTTTTCCACAAATGCCTCCACCTTTTCCTGGCTCTGATTTCCGATGAACTTTGACACCTTCTGACCTCCTTTGAAGGCCATGATGGTGGGGACGGAGTCAACTCCAAAGCCGATGGCAAGGTCCTGGAGTTCATCAATGTCCACCTTGGCTAGCTTGACCTGGCCCTTGGTATTCTGGAGGACTGCATCGAGGACTGGGGCCAGAGCCTTGCACGGGTTGCACCATCTGTGGACAGATTATGCAAATTTATGCTAAGAATGAAGTAGTTTTAAGTGGATATGAAGGTAACGATACCAGGTGAGTTCCTTTGTGGAGTCTGAGCCAAAGCAAAAACACTTTTTAATACTTTTCTAGCCACTGGTACATGTATATCACTCAAAAGAAATCAAACAAAGCAAACTTTAGAATGACCCCTAATTTTACAAACCCTTGTCAGTCCTTGTGTGAAACACTGTCTGCACTGTGAAACTATGCCGACGGCATACTGCATAGGTTCTGTACTTTAGCTGCCCTGGACAAGGAGCGCCAGCCAGAGACGCCTAAAGCTAGGCTCTGCTCAAGGCTTTAACAATTTTAAAGTGTCAGATTAGAGTTTGTGCCTGCAGACTAATATATACCAGTCAAGGTTATCAAAGACCCCTTGCTTCTATGGGGAAAAATAATCACAAAACTACTACATATTTAATCTCTGCCCTGAACATTAGGTAAATCAACAAAATTACTTGAGGAAATATTTGTTATCTTACTCAGCATGGAAGTCGACTATGACCGGTGATTTGCTGTTGAGAACCTTCTCCTGGAAGTCATCCCGGTCTTGGATGATGAAGCTATTCTCATCTAGACAATGGCTGCTACTGTGAAATGGCGCTGAGGAATTGATGAACTGTGGGAACCTGTGCAGGGTTAGATGTTAGCAAAGAGGGAAATTATGTGACTCAAATCCAATTCCCAATTCCCTATTACATACTTCACACAACAGGTGTTGAATTCTGACAACCATCTAACCCCGTAACTTGGGCAAGCTCAAATTTGACATATTTCAGGAAAATGGTCGGCGTTCCACAATACAGCTCCAAGTGTATAATTTTGGGATTTAAGTTGGTTTTTCAGCACAATAGTTTTACTTTGGTTTTTGAAATATTGGAGACCGATGGATTTCCCATTTTCCCCTCCTACATGTACATTGAACAGTTTCCAGAGCAATATAAGTTATAACAATCAATCAAGCATATCAATTAATGTTAACTGGATGATAATGTTACAAGATTTTGCAGGATGTTTAATTGGTTACATGTCATTTTTCAAAAAATATGATATTCTGAAGGTTCGTAACTTCCAAGGTTCATAATTCTGAAGCTTCATATTTCTGAAAATGAAATAGATTACATAATATCGAAAAAATGAACTACAGTTCATACTTCTGAAGGCTCAAGTTACCAATCTGACATAGAACCTTTTTAAATTGAATTAAATTATAAACCTTATAAACGGAATATTAACCCTATTTCATTTTCAGAATTAGAAACTTTCAGAATAATGAACCCTATATCACTTTTGGAATCATGAACCTTCGGAATAAAGCAACAAATGTTTGGAATCATGAACCCCCTGCTAAGTGAAATTCGTTTTTCGGAGTCATGAACTTTCGGAAAAACAAATCTTCAGAAAAATGTTTAATCAATGAATATAGGATGGAACATAGGATAGAATGGAAATGGTTTAGTAATTTAGTTTTCTACAATGGCTCTAAGGCTTTTACCTTTGCACAACAAGCACTACCGATGCGGACTTGAGGCCTGTAACCATAGGAACAGGTCCCTGACAAACCTTCCTCCCAAGGGTCCATGCGGTTTGTCTCAATAGTCCTCTTTGCAGGAGCTGTCTGGCAGCCATTGTTGAACTTTTCCTGTTTAACAATAAAAGCCTGAAATGAGCATAACAAATGAAGGATGTTGGATTTAATTTTAATGTTAAAGAGTAAAAAAAAACAATTTAAGATGACAACTGATAGGTGTACAAAATGATCACATCCTAATATTGCCTCTGTAAAGTTACCTGAGACTGTGCTAATATGCACATCACATTTGTGCTATATACAGGCCTATCTACTTAAAAAAAAAATATTCTTCTGTCTGTGGGTTTGTTGGGTTTTTTTAAACATCATGACTTTTATGTTCCAGTTCCTTTTGTATAATATTTGAAACCCAACATCAAAATGTATGTTTTAAATGACAATGTGGAAATAATAGTTTAAAATCATTTATTACTATAGTCTAGTATAGAGTATAGTACAATGGAAAAAATAAAGCCTCATGAACTTGACATTTATCCTAAAATATTCACAGATGAAGACAGATAAATCCACATCAACCAGCATATCAACCGAGCATCAAATTCACCATGGGGACCGAGCAAAACACCCTCCCTGCACTCACCCCCCTAGGGAGCGCGCTTCGTGCACTCTATAAGTGAATCGCACGCTTTGCGTGCTCACTACCCCCCCCCCCCCCCTAACATAAAATCCTGGCTCAATACGCGTTTGCCTGCCAGCAGTGACCACGCAGGAAACTCCTTCATCCATTAATACTCCACCCGCACCAATTATTTTAAACACTCTTATATTTCACGTACCATCATGCATCAGGGACTTGAAATCACTACCCCTGACATCCAAGGACCTCAAACATCGACACCTTCAAACTACAACTTACAAGTAACCAACCTTCTGCAACCAAGACTCAAGCAACAACTGAACAAGGCCTAATTATACAGTGCAGTGCGCACCCCCTCATCCTCCTCGTTTGATTTCTAACGGGACGTTGAGGGGTATATATAGAAGAAGAAGAAGAAGAAGGTTTAATTTAATTCCTCCTTGCCAAACTAATGCAGCTAGATAGGCTTTATAAATGTCAAAAACTCAATAAAATTTACTCCCATACCAAGGCAATGAAAAGGAAAAAAAAGTAAAATTTAAAAAAGGCATGAAAAGGTAAAAACTCACAAAACTACTTGACACACGACTTGATTATTTAGGCTCAGTTTTACCATGTCGAAGCTTAACAGAAAAAGACTTTTCGCCTTCAGCAACTAAAAATACAGCTACAGAATGCAGACAGAGAGAGAAGAGAATTTTACCTTTCTTTCACAGATAGCAGCTTGCAGCTCACACTCACAGGTTGTCCAGGCGGAATCGAGGTTTTCGCTGATTACGCAATAGATGTTAGACTTATTTTCCAGCTAACATATCCACGCCCCCTCGTTCAAGAGCACGTACGTACGTAAAATTACACGTGCAATCATTTTAATTATAGTAACGGCTGGGTACAAAGTCTACAGAAAGTGGTGTTCAGAAGTTGATAGTTTATGATTGTAAGATGCCTGCGGAAAAGCGAAAAGTGAGCTCTAAAAAGCTGCCAGATGCAAAGGGAAAGAAGAAACGTGATTTGAATGAGGAAACTGGAAATTCTGACGTGGATGCACACCAGAAAATTCAAGATGAAAAGTGAGTTTGATTTGCCGCAGCCCCATACGTCCAATTTGATGTTTGGCCAAATCACAATCTACATTATTAGTAGTGTAATGCACATCCAAAATCTAATTCGAAAACGTGCACGTGACATTATCCACACATAGCTGCATTACTATCCTGGCTGTGTATTAAAAACTGTTCTATTGATTCTCAACTTTTCAAACACCACTGTACAAAACTCAACTTAGGGATCTATTTTAGATCTAGGTCTAGACTACTCAAAATCGTTTTTTTTAGTGTCATTGATTAAAATAAATATTCCAGACTCCTCTAGATCTAGACCTCTAGGTCTAGTCTAGACTGAATTTTCCGTCTCTTTCGTTCGTTAAGCCTCTTATTTGGGTAGGGTCGGCTCTCTTATTTGCGTAGGGTCGGCCCTCTCTAAAGAGAGAGCCGACCCTACCCAAATACGAGGCTAAAGAGAGAGCCGACCCTACCCAAATACGAGGCTTAAAGAGAAGGTTGAGTTCTGGGAAGAGGTGAAAAATAATTTGTGAGCGTTACTCATTCTTATTATGCAAGTGTGGAAGAACATCAGATAAGACATGTTCCCTGAAAAGCATGGCTCTTCAAATGCCTTCATATTCTAAATATGCATGTAACATCGTAAAAATCGGGGGGCCGGCTTTTTACGCCACGTGTTCGTGTAGTCCCATATACATCTTTCTGTGTAGGTCTACAGTGTTTGTAACTTTACCAAGACTTGGCAAAATTTCTTATCATTTTGATGATTCCAGAACCTTGCAATACACACAAATTCTTATAATGCTAGATGATCAACCTTTTCTGGTCGGTTCCACCCCGTTTCTTTCACAATGCAATCGCATGACCAGAACTCAACTTCATCTTTAACGAACGAAAGAGACAGAAAATTCAGTCTAGTCTAGATCTAGATGAATTAGATCGAGGCTTTAGACCTACAATCTTTTCAATAATATCAACCAATGTTAAAAAGAATAATTTTAAATTCAAATTGCGATTTTACTGTCAAGTACTTGCCGATCAGCCACTTCGTAATCATTGTGTGCATTAGTGTGCAATTGTGTGCTATGTGTGTATTGTGTGCAATTGCTGTCTCTCAGCACGTAGTACAGCGCGGCGCTGACTCTAGTCCAGAATCTGCACGGTCCTTTATAATTTCCCTACACACTTGATCAAGCCGTCAAAGATGGCGTTATCAACAAACTCATGATTATGCTCACTATAGCCCAGCCGGGGATCCCAATTTAATGATCACGCCATCATCGGCTGGTAGCAAATAAGTAGGGAAAGTTTGCGTTGGTGTGGTGGAGATCAAAATTAAATAGGCCAGATTCTGGACTACGCTGACTCTAGCAATGACTCTATGCTTTGCTGGAGTGCCATTACCAGCATACAGATTACAATACGGGATCAGGACAGTGCCTTTCTCAGTTTCTGCACACGCATGCACACAAGGTCAAGGCCAGGGAGGGGGAGGGGGGTCACTCCCAACTGGCTACGCACCCGCGCCCACATCCAGGAAAAGCATAGAAAGGGCGTCTTTTTCAGCTATACAGCGGCGTCAACGTTTTCCTTTAAAGGGGTGTTTTTCAGGCACTGATTGCACACAATCCAAATAAGGGTACCTATTTGGGTTCACAGGTTTCAATTTTTTAAAAAGGTCATTTCAGAAAAGGTGCAATATGCCATTAGGGTCCATTTCAGAGGTTGATGGACCCAGGTGGGTAGCATTTGTGTATGAGAGTGACGTACCTCTGGGGGGAGGGATTTACTAGCCGAATTTCGCCGGAAACCTGGCGAAAAAGTTAACTCAGTTTTTCTTTATCTAGTAATTACACTAATAAATTTAGGAAATATTATGATCTGATGATTGGAAAGAAGTCCTATATAATTCCCATAAATTATGATAAAATATCAAAATATATTGTAATTTGTAAGGACAATTCTTTCAACAAGTAATCAGTGGTAATAGTAATCACCATAAGCAATAAACGGTCTGTTTTCTTGAAGTAATTATGTGTGCAATGAGATCAGAAATCACACAAACTGCATTGCGTTACCGCCCTTCACCTACCCATATGATATTGCTCACCTAGCCTTAATCAGCATCATTCCATATCTCAGATCTGCGTGAAAAGTGATGTTAACAAAACCTAAAATGCGTTTGTAAGCACCCATTCCTGCATCCCACAAACCCTCCATGCTGGCTTCATAGATCGTTAGTAGACTCTTCTTCCTACTCACAGAAAGTACTTTGAAATCTGTCCAGAATTTCACTCAAATTGTGAAGATTTGATACCGTAGTAATAGCAATTTGTTTACCTTAATTGCTTCCAACTGTTCCTGATGATAATGAGCTAACATGTAATTTACATTGCATGTAAAAAAAAAGCTGACCTCGCACAAGAGTTCGCAATGTTGGTACTGCTTGAAACACAAATACACACGATGTACACAAAAATAACTGTTTTCTCATTGCAAGAGGTCAGCATTTTTGTAATGTAAATCACATGCTAGCTTATTATCATCAGGACAAGTGCTTGGCTATCATTCATGCCCATCAACTTTTTAAGCATGAAGATTCAGGTTAGAGAAAGGTTGAAAAACCAAAGTGGGCATTTCTATTCACCCTTGTTTATTTTTGCTATACACCCCTGAATTATCCAACATTCTTGCAATTATTTGTAATTATATGGATTAATAGTTATAACAATTTCATTTCCATTGTGCCACTTCTTTTTATCATTTGTGCAATTTTGTAGGAATGGTCCCTCGGCCAAGTACAGGTCTACAGGCCGAAGGATCCTCATCAGGCTCTCAACCATTGCAGTACTCCTGGTGGGTGCTCATCTTTACTTTGGCCAAGGACAGAGCGTCCTGATACCATTGGCCAAACAGACAGAGACCCTCCCTGCTAAATTTATCTACGTCAAATGTTCAGAGGACTTTGAAGCAGACAGGGCAAAGTTTCCAGGTGAATACCTGCTACAGAAGACCATTCGAGAGGAATAGGAAAACTTCTGTTTAAACTCTAATAGTCTTTACACACAAGTGCATTTTAATTTGAAAGTAAACAATGTTCATGTTGGGAGAGGGGGTGGCCCAAGGGGCATGGTTTCTATATGTTTTATGTTTGATGGTTTCTATTTATGTGAATTATATTTGTCCATGTTCTTATATAATATTCACTGAATTATGGTCCCAATTTTCTGAAATTTGACAAGCTTATATTATCGAGCAGTTGCTTTCTGACTCAAAAGGTATCATTCAGTGATAATAAAAATATACTGTAAGCACCTTAGTAGAACTTGAATCACCAAGAATGTCGGGAGGTAAAAGGAAATTATTTAAGATTTGCAGGGGGTACAGGTGAAGGGCCAATATCAGTTCGTATAAATCTAAGAGTCAATAAGTCATGTTTATTCTAGCTAAACAAAGTTTTCATGGTGAAAGTATTGTATTTGTTGCCTTCATATGTTTTTTTTATTTTTATTTTTTAGAATGTGCACCCAAGTTATGTGGCCGAGGCGTGATGGATACTATTGTTTCAGAAAAAGAAGCCAAACAGCTTGTAGAGTAAGTATAACACCAACAATTAGATTATACCAGATTCTACAGGGGTTTTTGTTGTTGTATTTTTGTATTTGACACTGTCATTAAAGATTTTGTTTCTTAGTAGGGAGGCCAATGCCAAAATCTAACTTTTTAATTACTAATTTGTTTATAATAAAACAAAGATTAAAAGAAAGCATTTTCTTTCACTAAGAAAACTCACCCATCTGCCGACTCCAGAAGTTCCATAAAAAAGGAGATATCCAGCTATTTTCAAAATGTATGCAGTTTACCACAAGAGTCTAAAGATGCATGTAGATCCATTCATTTAGTATTCAAGTGGTATTGTGGTAATGATTTATCTTTAAACACCACAATATTTAGTATCAATTTTGCTCTTTATCATTAGTTCTATTTATCTTCCATTCCTTGTATACCATTTTCTGTCTCATTCTGTCTATTAACGACTGTATGTTCTCTCTATTCTTGACATGGCAGAGTTGCCAAGAAAGGATTATCGTATGGAGGATCCAATGGAGGAGTAAGTGCTTATTGATCATATCTTATTTATGTAATGCACAATTATTTAAATTGTTCTTTTAAATATCTGAGTCTACAATTACCTTACATTCTTAGAAATATTACTTGGACCCCACCCGAAAGAAATATGAAATTGATAAACCTGAATTTATTTTCTTTATAGTGAAAAAAGGCCTGTCATTTTACATTCAATCATTAAGAATCATTGGTAAAACTCTGTATGTATCTGTATGCGTCCTATGGGAGAAAGTTCTCCTTCAAGCAGTAACCCTAAAAAATAAATAACTATAAACGATAAATGTCAGGCAGGGCATTCCAGTGTGAAATACACAATTGCCACATTGTTTTGCAACTCCATAATTACAGTTTAACATTTCCTCCTTTTGTTTAGGCATCTATTCTAGACCTTCATTCTGGCGCTCTGTCAAAAGGAGATTCTTTCATCAATATTTACCAGTAAGTTGTATGCTCATGTTTTGTCATTCAAAGTCATTCAACTCATTCATTTTATGGCTTTCTCTTTCTTGATTATACATATATTATAGTTTGGTCTCCCATATAGGCTCTTTCTCCTGAGGCCACCATCGTGCTCAAGCTCTAAACTTGAGATGGTGGTCTCCTGCATTTTTAAATTTTGAAATATGTCAACCATGATTTATTTGATTTGTATTATGATATGATTATGTAAATGTATTTAAACTTTTGTTAATAATATAAAAATATAAACCTAGTTTTTATATTACTTTTTTTTTTATAGAAATGTTGAAAAATGCAGAAATGAAATACCCCCACCCCCCCCCAAAAAAAAAAAAATCATATACTTGTATGAGATACAGGTTTAGGGCTGTTATAGTGTTTTAGGGTAGTTTATTATGTTTAGGGTTCTAGTACTTGACATCTTAGAAATGATTCATCTGACGTTCTGACCATATATTTTGTATGTGTGTATGAAGCTGATATTGCTCTGATTTTACATTTTGGTTATGATTTAAAAGAATCCGCCTTCACCTCTCTCTTTGTCTCCTCTGTGTCCGCAGATACATCGAGCAAAAAAATCTAGGAAATGTGTTCAGTTCCGAGGATATAAGGCTGTACAGGTATGAAAAGTTGACAACAGTCCAAGTTTTTAGAATGTGCTCTTATGTTCACAGTGTTGCCATTATGTTCTTTCGTTCTTCTCCCAGTCCTCTCGACTGAGGGTCAGGGGTCATGGATTCATAGTTTCCTCTTTCACTGTGTTATTGTTCATTCTGCAAGGGATCTACCTGTCCGTCTGATGCTTTGAATCCATAACTCTCATCGGAATCAAATTTGGTCAGTGAGTCCCGAATCCTCTTTTGGCCTCTATGCAGCTTTTCTGACCCGTCGTTGCTATTTCAAGATTATATTTCCATGATTTTACATGATGTACAATTATGACAGTAGAGTACAAAATAAAGGAAAGTGATATGCTGAGGTTTGAACCCTCGACCTCAGCATCCTCAAGTCAAGTGATCAAACAACTCAATTATAACACTTGTAAATGTGTAAATACAGGATGAATTGTGATCACAATGTTCTAATTTCTATGGACAGATTATATAACCTGGTTTCTTTGTTTGGTAGATATTCATTTTATTTGAACAGTCAATTGATAAACCAAACAAGCAAATGACAAGATGATTTGATTAAACACCATACAAAACATAGAGACTGCTCATTCTTGTTCTAACACAGGAAAGTAGCGGATAAGATCAAAGTTGCTATCTCAGCTCGGTTCCAGATCCCTGGCCAGAAGATCTACCTGACCCATCCTACATTTTTCTCCAGGATGAACAGCAAGAAAGCCAAGACACTCCATGATGAATACTGGCATCCCCATGTTGATAAGGTGAGAACAAGGGTGCTGAAATTGAAGATTGAGTTCTGAAAAGGGTGAAAATGATATTTGAACTTATCTCATTGTATTCACATGTGAAACGATACAGTGGCAATGTCCTTGGAATATTTTATCTTTGACGAGAAATACTTGTCACCTTTGGAAACATTTAGATGCCATTTGTTTGTGTAATCCCATGTACCCATACAGGTGCAAAGTTTCTTTTCTTAATATTTTAGTAGCTTTGATACTTTGTTTTGATTGTGATGATTCCAAAATGTCATTATACAATTACGTGACCCTGTTTTTTATTGAAACTGCACCAAATCACGATCTTTGATTTGCTAATTTGCTATTGCTGTATATAACCGTACCACAGAAACACAAGTAATTTAGCGATAAAAATCACTTTAAAATTGGATGTTTGTTAAATATAATTACATACCAGGTGAGCAAATTGTCCACCCCATTGTGTGTCATTCTGATTATAATAGATTTATATTTGATTAAAATGTCGTGTAATTCTCTTATTGTCTTTATTTTATTCCAACCCGTTATCTGTTTCTCTCTCATTTTTGTGCTTTCACCATGCATGTAATTTTTTTTTTTTGGGGGGGGGGGGGATGGAGTTCTTGATAAGGTGACTAAACGCTATTGTATTTCAGCCTTAAACTTTCCTATGTCTGAAACAAAGAACTGACGGAGGTGGAGGGGGCGTAAGATGCGACTGTCGTCATGTGCATGGGTTCAAGTGCCCCGGTGAGCAGGCAAAAATGATTGTTGCTGTGTTGTGTGTAAGAGCACCCCTCCCCTCTGATCTCAATGCAGGTGGATTCAGGGGGAAACACTCTGTTCCTTGGACAGAACATTCACTGGAGGCCCCATGACATTACCCCATGTGTAGGAGAGTCACACCCTATACACATTTTACGTTACTCAAACCAGGGGGGTGTTTCACAAAGATCCTAAGTTGAATTTATCTCTTAGCTGGACTTAACAATTATGGAAAGCTGCTAGCACCTTTGAAAATATTTTGTAAAAGTTATTTTAAAAGGCATATAATGTTGATTCAAATCATTCATATTTTCTATTATCATGGGATATTTCATGTTCTTGATGTGGAATTTATGAAAAGTCTAAAATACTTGAATATATGCTTTTGAATATATTTCATTTTAAGGCTACAAATTGCTCTCCATAATTTTTAAGTCCAACTTAGAATCTTAGTGAAACACCCCCCTGGTGTTTACTGTGCCTGCATACACAACTGGCAATCTTCCCAAAGACCCTTGTGATAGGCTGCATGCATAGCCCTTTGAAAATTAACACTAGAAAAAGAAGAGCACTCTTGTTATACCAACCCATAGCACTATTGCATTGAAACCAGACATTCCAGTCTGCAATACATGGTTAACGTTTCTCTACTCTCTTTCTCAAACAGAAAACCTACGAGACATTTGACTACACATCCCTGCTCTACCTGACAGACTATGACGTCGATTTTAAAGGAGGACGCTTTGTATTCATTGATGATAAAGCAAATTCAACCGTTGAACCAAAATTAGGTGAGGATTTGAACATATTTATTCAGAGAGATGAAGCATCAAGGCACTTTGGCAAGATGTAGATGGCTAATTTCATTTGGCATTACAAAAAAATTCAAAGATTGGCAATACAAAAGGGGGGGGGGGCTTGGAAATGGTTCAGAAATGTTGTGGCACAGGAGGAATTGACTGAGATGGAAGAGACAGAGAAATGAATCAGGGATTTTGAAAGTGCTATTTTGGGTGATCTAATTTTTCCTCTGGGCTTTCTAATCAGGTCAATATAGGTTTGACGAAAAAAATGCAACAAAATGTTTCTCAACAGTTTCCCGTAGCGTTTGACATCAGAAACAACATACTAAAATTACAATAAAATCGTACCCCTGAAAATAGGTTATTTTTCAAATTGGCCGCCAGTACCTATACTTGGCCATAAATCGCGATATATCTTCGAGATGTCTTCTTCGAGTCTATATCTAGGTTTTGGGGATCGGATGTTCTATTTATGTTAGAAGTGAGTTACTATTTACATTAAAGCTGTTAATACCAATATTAAAAGTACCGGTATTAGATGCTGCTTGTAAATGTCAGCTTGCATGGTGATGTAGATATACAGTAGGCTTGCGGGTGCACCCGCAAGCCTATGTTATGTATGTTAGATATGTTTTACAGATCAAGATAGTCACTGGTATGCTTTAAATAACCATTTTGGGTGTCTATACCTTGCCAATTTTTTGTTGCGTTGGGGTAGTTTTTTCAATGAATTGACCCAACTATTCATCAAGGATAGACAGGGTCAAGTAAAGTATTAAGTTCTAGATTTCATTTAACACTAGGAAATGACTAGGCTGCAATTGTTGCCAGAGTATATGTTGTAGAATTCCTTTTATATAATTTTTCTTCCAGGTCGCTTGTCATTTTTCACATCTGGCTCCGAGAACACACACTTCGTAGAGAAAGTCACGAGTGGAACGCGATATGCCATCACTGTCTCTTTCACCTGCGACAAGAAGCATGCTATCCAGTATCCGAAAATGGGCAGCTAATCATCTGACCAATCACATGACCTTACAACTCACCGAAAGCAATAAATCGCCTGGGGCTCAGTAGCTGGGTATTTTTTATCCTTATTATTATTATAAATGAAGAAGTCTTTTCATATCATCTTCTTGAAGCCAGAAAGGGTATAAACTCATATGATTTGACCCTGAGTCGATGCCCTTTTGACTCTAAACAGACAGTATGCCATCCCCCCACCCCCCCCCCTCCCCCTCCCCCTCCCCATTCTAATCACCATCTCTTCTTTCATTCTTCTAATTATGTTGCTAAATTTGTATGGACTTCATACTTTTTTACCTTGGCACATATTCTATTTGCATACATATTTTGTGCCATATGTTTGTCTAATAATTGACATTTAGATGTGAAGATGTTACTGACCTCTATTTACTGATTAATATTACATTGACATGGAGCAGTTGTCATAAGAGTGAGTGTCATACAACCTCTGTTTTCTCCTCAGTTAAGTAGAGTTGTTTAGAATAATGTGATATTCTTGACTTCCATACCTTCAATGTCCGGAACCATATTTCATTTACTTGACATATGAAAGTGAAAGTCAAGACTTAATGGGGGGGGGTGTTTCACAAAGATCCTAAGTCAAACTTAACTCTAAGTTGGACTTAAAAGTTATGGAGAGCCATTTGTAGCCTTATAAACTTTTTATACATTCTTTTTATAAATTCTACATCAAGAACATGTCATTTCCTTGATAATAGAAAATATGAATGATTTGAATTAACATTTGATGCCTTTTAAAATAGCTTTTGCAAAATATTTTCATAGATGCTAACGGCTTTCCATAATTATTAAGTCCAACTTAGAGACAAGTTCAACTTAAGATCTTTGTGAAACACCTCCAGGCCTTCTGAGTTCTGACCCTGGTGGACCAACTACATGTATATTAGAGCAAAAGTGTTGAGGTTTTGGATGCTTTGATAGAAATACCTAAAGATATCGCCTCTTTCTCTCTTCTATTAGCAGTTGTTATGCAATCTAGGGCTAGTTGGGTGAGCTGTGTTTTTTTCTCGCATATACTATAGGATCAGTTGATATTTTTTTTTTTAAATAGAATACATGTAACTAAACAAAATTTTGAAATGAAAATAATGATGGAGATGAATCCTGTGCCTTAGAGAGGTGAGAAGAATGATTTCATTCCACAATTTTATTTCTCATTGTACTACAGTCGAATCATACATGTTATAATCGCGGTAGAGGTTTACGGTACACCATGTGTAAAGTCCTAGAAGGACTAAGGAAAGTGGATAGAAAATAGAAGTGAAATGGAAAGGCGAGAAAGTGGAGGTTGGAAGGAAGAGTATCTTTCGGAAGTGAGTATAGTCCTGAAAAGGACTGTAAACCAGAAAGTTGTAGACAGGATGAGAGGTTTGAGTAGAAGACTGGATTGAGTTGGAGAGTTGAGTAGAGTTGCAGAGCAGGAGCAGGAGAGTAGACTCGACGTTTCGGACAGGTTGACTGTCCGTCTTCAGGAGTGAGTGTTCGCTAGGCGTGCGGCGGTCCTTATAATGGCGTGAGTGCGGACTTGGGGGAAAGCACATGGTGTACCGTAAACCTCTACCGCGATTATTCATACCACCATGCAAACCTTCAAACATCATACCATGTTACTTGACAAAATGCTTAATCTTTGCCAATTTTGTATTTTATAGACTAGACAAGTTATTTAAATTGATATTTCCACTGAAGAGATTATGGATGTGGAGAAATTTGCTTTTTTCTTTTTTAATTTGTTTATTGTTCTAATTTTAGTGGTAGAGAATTTGATTATTTCATTTAAGAGCATCATGTTAGTGCATATTCGTTTAGTGTTTTGACCATCTTCTTTTTACTGTTGACCATTCCAAATTCAAGAGGCATAGTAGATATCGATAAATTGCATGCAGTATTTTATCACTTTCTTTAGCTATGTTACATGGTAAAGTCTTTTCCGTGGCCACAATGTACTTGGTAGTACTCTAATATGCAGTATGATTTTTTTCTTGCAAGGACATTTTGTGCAATACATGTTAGTAGTAGTGATGGGTCAGATTGGACATACATGTAAGTATGTTTATTGTAATATGTGTACTTATATGGATATTCAACAAATATCTGACATCACCAAGACAGTCAGTGATTGCATGGGGTTGTAATGACATCATAAATTGCATGAAAATATTCATGTATTCACTATATTAAAATGAAAATGTGTTTCATTTTGAATTTTTGTGTATATTTTGACAAGAATAAATTATGATCAGTGCCAATTATTTTCAAGCAAAGATTTGTGTATATTATTTGTAGTTGTCACATTTGTGTATCTCCCAGTTCTCTTATACTGTGCAATTTAAATGTTTGGATTGTATTAACAATACAAGTTTGTTTGTTTTTTGCTTGAAAACAATAATACTAAATTATTCAAAGCCAAATAAATTAGCTTAGAATGTTGGCAATGGGTAGGGCTTTTTATGCCTCTGCTGCAAATTAGCCGGAGGCATTAAGTTTTTTGGTTGTCCGTCCGTACAGCTGTACGTATGTCCGTACGTGCCGTTCTTGTGATAGCGTTATCTCAAGAACCAATCGATGAATTCCCGCCAAACTTTTTTCTAATGTAGGGATTATCACAAAATAACAGATGAGGCATTTCCAAGATAATTTGCAATAGCTATTCATACTTTTATTCATGCGAATTTATATCGTGAAAGACAAAGAAGCACTCCTTACAACTTATACTCATCCATTATCACTTGTTTCCTACATATATTTTTCTAGATTTAGGAGTAAGATCATGTTTGCCAACTCAACCATCAAAATTAAATTTATTGACATTTTTTCCATAAGGGGACCAAGCACCCCCAAAATTGTCAGTAGACAACAACAAACACCCACTACCCTCAGGAGTTTTAACTCTGCATTGGTCAGTCAACTTCCATGAATATGCCTGGGTACATCAACATGTCTACCACAATCTCACCTTCAATAATAATAATAGTGGGTTCCTGTATATAGCACTCAAAGTTGTAGAGAGATTATTTGGCTTGTGATCATTCTCTATAGATAGTTGATCCAAGTGGCATGTCATTTAACAAATCGACATATTATTATAATTCCCCGCAACTAGTAATTATTTGCCAGTATCATGATAAATGAATACGTGCAACAGTATTCAAAATAATGATTGACTAAAAAGTAAGGTTTCTAGGAAACAGCTCTAGTCGCATCTCATGATTTGAAAAATATATGATTTTGAGAAGCAAAATTTATAAATATACAAAGGCAAGCATGGAAGGCATTTATAAGAAGAAACCAATAGAACCCGACTTTCAATTCACTAGACATCAATTGCATAATTTGATTAATAAATCAATTAATTATCCTGTTGCATATGATTCTACTAATGTACAATAATGAAAGAATGATATAATAGTCTACAATACATGTTGACCACGAACAAATTCATAAAATTGAGAATAATGAAATATATTTTTGACAAATGAAGATTTAACGTAAACAATTTTAAAACTAAAATCAACAAAGTTTCTGACTACAGTCAAACCTGTCTATAGCGACCGCCCAAGGGAAACACAAAAAGTGGTCTTAGTAGACAGATACATTTAGTACATGTTTCAATGAGAAACCAATTCCAGGGAAACAAAAAATGTGGTCTTTGTAAACAATTGGTCATTAAAGCAGGTTTGACTTTACCATAAAAATGAGATAAGTGTGAGTGCCTATGACAATATCAAATTGTATTCATTTAATGATGAACAATAAAATCTCATTAATAATGACAAAGTTTACATGAAAATTAATCAACAAAATAAGCTATGAATCCACAAATTTAATAAGATCATGATTGGCGATTCTTGACTAATTGTTGCACAACACACATGCAAATTAAACCAGTTTTTGATTATCTTCAAATCCCCCCCCCCCCCCCCCAAAAAAAAAAAAAAAAATGAAAAATGAAAAATGAAAAATAATAATAACTTTCACAGGTAGAAGTGAAATACAACTAACACAAAGCCACATAAATCTTCCTGTTTGAATATGCAAATTTGTACTTCAAAATGGTTGGGTATTCAAGTCAGAAATGCCCAACTGGTCTTGGCTCTATAAAGCAGGTTATAATAATATTAAAGAGAAGGTTGAGTTCTGGGAAGAGGTGAAAAATAATTTGTGAGCATTACTCATTCTTATTATGCAAGTGTGGAAGAACATCAGTTAAGACATGTTCCCTCAAAAGCTTGGCTCTTCAAATGCCTTCATATTCTAAATATGCATGTAACATCGTAAAAATCGGGGGGCCGGCTTTTTACGCCACGTGTTCGTGTAGTCCCATATACATCTTTCTGTGCAAGTGTTTGTAACTTTACCAAGACTTGGCCACATTTCTTATCATTTTGATGATTCCAGAACCTTGCAATACAAACACATTCTTATATGCTAGATGATCAACCTTTTCTGGTGGGTTCCACACCGTTTCTTTCACAATGCAATCGCATGACCATAACTCAACTTCATCTTTAAGCCCATAGCACAACTGAATATCTGAAAGAGAGTTCTTGTTCAATAGTTTTGGATTCTAAGGCATGGTTTGGGTGAAAATAAGTCTGTGAAAATCTAGATAAGACCAAATAAATGGTTTCATTTTTTGGTCAGGCAGTGGACCCTTCTCAAATTCATTTTCAGATGAGCTCTGAGAATAAATTGTATCAAAATAAAAAAAGATTTCTGGTTGGACAGTTCTCACAACACAACTTCAAATACCACAAAAAGAAAGCAATGAAACCAGCGATGACACACCGTCAGCCTGGAAAATAAAATAAACATATACTGTACGGTACGTATAAGTTGCAGTTATGCTAAAAACTACTAACAAATAACATGAATTTGGAAGATACTACCAATAGATGTAGTTGAAAGAGGGAGTACAGTACTAACAATTTCCTTTCAACATGAACATAACAATCCCTCTATGCAGCATAGTATGAAATAAGGTCTATATCAAGAGCATTTTTGTGCTTCACATTTCAAGATGAGTTGTATATTAAGGTACAAATTTAAAAGATTTATAGGAGACAGAGAGGCTGTTCACACCGGCAGAGAGAGCGCGCGCTAGACCGCGCTATCTCTGCGGTGTGGGAGGTACAACGTCGTTTTGGTCCGCCCAACAGCGAGCCACGGCGAGCCAAAACGGCGTGCCACTGGAGCACCTCTTGGGGGTGGTCCACGAGAGAGAGCGCGGTCTAGCGCGCGCTGGAAAAAAGGGGGTGCTACGATAGACCGCGCTATCTCATTGCGGTGTGAACAGCCTCAGAGAGATAAATAACTACATGCATGCCTATGTCAATTAGTAATCCAGAAGAGTGTAAAGGATTTACGCTTTAAATGGAGTTACGGTAATACCCATCTGGCTCTTGGCTGATGACATATAGTCAAACCTGTCTTTAATAGTGTTCACAACTCTTTAAAGGCCACCTGTCTATAATGACATCTTGTCTCCCTTTAGAAACAAGTGTGTGTTGTAGAACCTGCATAGGAATGCCACCTGTCTATAGTGGCCACTTTTTCTGTTTCCCCTGAGTGGCCTTTATAGACAGGTTTAACTGCAATGTACATTGTAGGCCAGCAGCCTGGTACAGTACCTCCCAGATATGTGCACACTGCTCTACCAAGAAGCCACCATACATCTGAAACCTGTGTATTAAGATCATCAATGGGCTACATGCTATTCTAACATTGTAACACATGAATCTGCTTCCACAGAGCCATAACATGTGGATGCAGCTGGCCTTTCTACACAGGTTGTTGCTGCATAATAGCATATACTGTTATCGGAGCCCTGTCTAGCTGTGTTACCACTTGCTGTAATTAGATTTTTGGCTTGCACCCAGTAAATAAAGATCGCATAGGTACTCGATCTTGTAATTAAAAAAAAGTCAGAATTAGAACAAAATCTTGGAACCAGTGGGATTTAATCCTGCCATCTACTGCTTGTAGGGCAGAGACATCATTGGTCCAATATCTCAGCTCTCCTGACTCATTCCGACTTATTAATATTCATCAGTGCGCCATTGGGACATTAGCGCTGAATGTTAGGCTTCCTGGTAGAAGTTTCAATTGATGTAAAGAAATTTTTGGTTTTCAACCAGTGTTACCATGTATCAAAATGGACCGTTCCTAACTCAATTTCAAATAAATTCACAAATAATTGGATGATTTGCAGTTGATTAAGAATAATTGTGTCTCATTACAAGACATAGCTCAAGTCAAATTCAAACAGCATGAAACGTTACTTTCTTCTGACTCTAAAACAATGCAGCACCTAGCTTTCTTACTGTAAATTATCCACAGTTTGACTGTGTCTAACATGCATTGATACAATTAACGGTACCGGTATACATACTTTTTGTTGTTAATGAAAATATATGAGGCAAAATATACATACACCAGTATACTGCTCAAGATGTGTTTCACACAAGTCTCACAAGATGACAACATCGGTTATATAAATGCAATTTGACAGCCGCGTAATATATTATTACAACAATCACATATTTCTGGTAATAACATGCAATGATTTCCTTCTTTCTTTGATGATATACAGTAGTTAAGTCACACACTATGCACATATTTATTACCTAGCAATCCACACACTCTGCGTTTCTGAGAAAATGCCTTATATTGCATATATATCCCCACTGCTGGTACTCACCTAAATATTTCTTTTCATGCATTTTGTTTGTTTATACTTTTCATTTTGCTTCAGCACACACATTCAAGTTACAGCATTCACATGGCATATAGATACTTATCCAGTCTACAATTATGGCCTACATACATGTATACATGCATTTCCACATTATTAGTTTGGCCTTTAGACAAAGTATTTTTTATCTCTTATTAGTTCATTAATGCATATCTTTAGAATTATTTAAAGGATATCTGATTTGTCCATTGTCATAAATATAATTATTGTCAAGATGAATATCATTATTACATGGATGATAAAACTGATCTGTAGACTGATATCTATTTCATTTCCACATCAAGCTTTATCAGTTCACTACTGAATAATCAAGTTTAGATATTGATTTGCTTATACATGTATTTTGACTCCTATATGAGCTTATACATTCACAAAAGATCTCAAGCAAGTATGATCATATATTCCATTTTGCATATTCTATCATAAACATACTTGATGACGCCTAATTTACACACAAGCACAATGGTTTTGGTCTAACTTCAAATACATAATTCAAATATACATATTTCAATAAATATACCTTGTAACAGACAAACTACACATTGGAGAGTTCCAAGTACAACAGAATGTGATTTCACATCACTGCAGCAAACTTACACCGTTGCTATCAAGACGATGTTGGCATTGTTGACGACAGATCATCAGCTGTCTGCGGGGGGCAATAATCCATCCACTCTCCTTGCTGGTTCTTGGTGTAGACCCTGGGTTTATTGCCAGGAAAGACGGTGAGGGTGGGGTGGGGATGGTTGGTCACCCATCGGATGGCATCCCGGATACCCTCCTCAAAGTAAGGAGGCTCAACCTCCGGTGATGTGGAGAGGTGCTGCATGGAGGAGCAAGCAAGCACAATGTTACCATTATGACCATAACCTTTGGCCTCTTGAGTCTAAAATATCATGAGTCCACATTCAAATGCTGTACATTTTTTGGTTCATTTGCAGCACAAATTGTAGATAGTAGATAAGTGTATGTAAAGATTTGCCAAACCATTGCTTCTTGCAATTCATTTACAAAGTTTGTCTGTGGTGGGTTTTTTTTGTTTTTTCGTTGTTTTTTTGTTTTGTTTTTTTGTTTTGTTTTTTGTTTTTTGTTTGTTTATTTTTTTTTTTTTGGGGGGGGGGGGCAATCGTTACAGCCCCATGTGTGAACAGGTCCTAAGGGATGTGAACTCACCTCTCTGATGAACGAGTCTGGTTGAAGGAGCCAGTTACCAATGTAAGGCATTGCCCTGTAGGTGAACGGACTGATCATGTGAAGCCCAGTACTGTGATCATACACATTACGCATCTGTAAGTGAAAGAATAGTTGTACAGAAAATGATGAAAATCAAGAAACTACATGGATCTTCAAAAATTATACCTCCGCCACAGAGCGATTTTACAAACCAAAACAGAAGCAATTTTTAAAATTAAAGGTTGATTGTAATCCATTAACAGGTTCCCAGAATATTACACGCTATTTTTCCTATACATGTATGACCCCTTTGATCTTTGACCTCGTGACCCCAAAATCTAATCAGTTCATTGGCTCTGCTAGATACATGCATGACCTAAATTTAACCGAAATCCATCAATCAATTCTTGAGATAACACGATCACAAACTATTTTTGCATACATAATGGGCTGTGTGACCTTTGACCTCCTGACCCCAAAAATCTAATCAGTTCATTGGCTTTGCAATATACATGCATGACCTGAGTTTGGTGGGAATCCATCAATCGGTTCTTGAAATAAAAAATATGCCTCCGATGGCGAGGTGTGGCCTTCAAGTATATGCAAGATATATTCTACGTTGCGGAGGCATAAAAATCTTAACTTGACATGCAAATCTTGAATGAGCTGAATTTATTAGACATACACATCCCAAGGCATTGAGGGATTGAGGGGTGGGTGCACAATTTTACCAAGAGGATGACATATGAATTAAGAAGGCCATTTGATGAGGGGGATGATTTGAAAGGGGGTCCTATCATCTTTTCATGTCCCCTTTCCTTTTCCCTTCCTTTCGCTCCTTTTTCCTCTTTTATACCCCTTCCTCTTTTCACAATTCAATTTTTTGTTGGGGAAGGGGGTGGAGACACATGCCCCCTGTAGCTGCAACACTATATAGGTACACGCTGTCATCAGAATTATTAAACAAATTTCAAATTCTAAACTGTATTGAGTTATTCATACCTTTGGAATAATGCCAGGATCTGATGTCTCGTGACCGTAACATTGAAATGTCCAAAGATTTTAACCATAAGATAAAGAGTCGCCAATTTATGTTTCACTAATCAATACTTTTAACACTTCAAATCATTTTCTTATCACAAGTTCTTCTCAAAACCGTTTCTCTATTTCTCTCATTTTGCCACTTTTAATAAAATGTTGATGCTAAAGTGGAATTCCCCTGTCAGTGTATGGTAAAAGCCGAACCTTAAGAGCTATGAAATTGTTGTGATTTGGAAACAACGGCAACTTTACAGCAATAAATTTTGCCAATTAAAAAAATTCAGTGTAGTGTCAATTATGATTGAATCATTTAGAGGCATGAAACTTTTGCAAATCTGAAAACTTGAGAACTTTGCAAGCAATTTATGCACACAAAAGTGTCTGGTTTGACAGTACACAGATGGAGAAGTAGTTTATGGTGGACTTACATGATGGTTACCAAACAGTGTGTAGACGCTTCTCAAAGGTTTGTCAGGACCCTTATTAGCAAAGGATGCTGGGAAGATCTCTCCGCTTTTGACATTGACGGCTGTGTAAGAAAAACATGTATCAGTAATATGTACAAATGTAAATCATGGCTTGAAAGTGTTGCCAGTATTAAAGCCATCTTTGATACTCTTATTGCCAAACATGTCATATCCCCCCCCCCCCCCCCGATTTCTTTAAAAAATAACTCAAATCACCTTCAGACAACTACATTTTGGGTAATACAAGTTGAATCCATAGATACTTTGATACCATATAAAGTCTGTTAGTAGATTCCTATGTTCTATTGTAAGTTTTTGTGAATGGAACTTGAATCTATGAGTAAATAAACTGACCATTCTTTAAGAAAAAACTCCAGATATTTTTATGCCAATTGATACCAATTGTCAAAGTCAATTGTTGAAATGTATGACCATGGTCGGTCATAATCATAATCTACAATGGTACTATATATGGTAGCTCATGATGAAATTTTCAGAGATGTATTTCACAAATTCAGATATCTACCCCCCCCCCCCCTCCCCCTCACCCCTCACCCAACCTCTCATAAAAGGTATTTGTGACACGTCATATTAAGATACAGTACAATTATTGCTTTAAAACTTTGAAACCTGAAAAATCTGATTAAATATCTAAAGTAACTGAGTAATTTAGTTTTCATTGCTTACAAAATACACGGATGAACAGGTCCCCCCCCCCCCCCCCCCCCGCCCCCCAAAAAAGAACAATGCCCCTTCAACTTACCTACACCATAGAGTATTGGCCAGTGTATACCATCCTTGACTGTATCATTCAAATCTATCAAAAGAAACCACATTTTAACCAAGTCAATATATAAGTCACTATCTAATTTTTTGTTTAATATATACAATACATGCATCATTCAATACCAACAAACCAACATAAGTAATGATAAAAATGTCCTTTTCTAAAGAAAAATCCCACCCTAATGAACCTATGGTGAACTTTTGAAAGCTGTAATCATTAAACGAATGGTACCTCAAAGTAGCAGAATCAGTAATGTCACTATGATGAAGTGCCGGGCGATTCTCCATATTTGTTCTAACACAAGAATGAATAAAATGTCAATTTAATTCAAAATCTGTGACTCTGGAGAGTTTTTTCTTTTTTAAGAACCTTTTAATAATATGCTATCCACAATATATTTTAAGTAGTGCCTAACGGGAGAGGGTGCTTAGGAGAAAAACACAAATTTATCATACTTTTCTACATGACAAATGGGAGTTATCCACAACTACATTACAATCTTAAGTATGTTAAATATTAATTTAAATTATTTGTATGCGCCTTGAGCATCTCTAGAGATGGATATGTTGCGCTTTATAAATATTGTTATTATTATTATTATTAATCTAGTACCCAAATTGCTGACTTTAAATTCATATATCTTTAGTGATCTCACATTTCAAACACACATAACTGTCTAATTATAATTATATTATAGTCGGTTTAATTTCAATCTTCAACCATTCTGATTTTCGAATTTTTCGCTTACACACAAATGAAATATTACAAAGGTTGAATTGCCCTTTAAATGATATGATTGATGGCAAAATATTTAAAATTATTATGAGCCTTACGACTGCATATGCTTCATGTTTTTTCCCCCATTTCTATCATGAATATGCATGTCAAGTAAGTGATGCATGTATATAGCACTGTTTATAATACTGTGTAATAAAGTTGACAAATTGAGTTCCTGTTTATCAGATGCAATGTCTTTACAAAGGAAAAGTCCCAAAATAGTTATAAGTGTATTACCTGACATGCATGCCGTAACAAGGTGAACCTCATGCACACAATTGTGAAATATACCTGCATAAAATAAGGGAGAAAAGACAACTGTAAATTTTTGAAGTGCTTCTTTTCTTTACATTATATACACTACATACATGTACATACTACATGTACATCATAATAATACAAAACTGCTATAATGCGGAGATAAACAAACAATGGAGATAGACATTATCTACAAAAACCTTAAAGGTGATACAAAGTTTTGGTATGGGGTCATGAATTCGGTTCAAATGAACATATTGGAAGCTTATGCAATCCTACAATATTCAGTGATTGTTGTCGCGGTTGAAATCGAGTCTAAAGTGATGAAATTGTAAATAATAAAATCTTTATGTTGTATAGCTCCCTCACAAGGTCAAGATATCAATTTAGCTTTAAAACAATGTTTCTTGACTAAAATCGACCGATTTGCTATTCCCGTTTGGAAATTATATATCACGACTACATATTCTGAGATTTTCATGGTCGCAGCTAACATTGGATTGCTGTATAAGCTATTTGAAATTTGTCAAAATTTACCTTGAGCACCAGTAAATTTTTATATTCAATTTGTCTTGAAAGCAGAAGTGTTTTAGAGACTAATTTTTCTAGTGCTTATAATACATCCTCAGGGGCATCCAAATATATCAATATTTTAAAGAATCAATATCCGGCCAATTTCAAAATTTCCAAAAACTTTGTATTACCTTTTAATAATGATAGCATTCTTGCATCAATCAAACTGATACGTACATCATTAAAGCTATTTAAAATGTATAAAATTGTCATATTTTCCCCAGAGTGTTTGAGGTAAGCTCTTGTGATGAGTTTTACTAAATAGCAATTATGGTAATTTGAAATACATGTATTTCATGTAGTATGTAATACCTTCATATTCTGGAATTCTACTTTTTGTACTCCATATGGAGCAATACAAATATATACTGGTATCATCACAATACAGAATTCTGCAAGTGATGGGATGCACTTCTTATGAATATAAGTTCATACTCACTGAAAACATTTGTTGATATTTCTATTGATTCTCCTCGGCTGTCACAGAAGCCCCCAAATATGTGTAGTTCTAGTCTATATTAGTAAAGAAAACAAAAATAGAGTTAATCAGATGTTTATGTAGAGTATACCTCCAATATGAACGTTCATTATTGTAGAGCGCTTAGAGACTTCTGACAAAGTAAGTGTTAGGCGCTATATAAGCACTATAATTATTATTATTATTATTATTAGAAATGGGGTCTGAAGAAAAGTAGAGACGAGGGCATGGTGATGAATAGAAAATCCTGCCTAAGTGTATTAAAGATACCGTTGAGTTGTGGTAATGAAACTACCACAATGAAGAAACCATCTGAAAGCACTCAGGAAAGGTTGATTCAATATAGTACATAACAATAGTTGTATGCAGTTATGTTCTGGAATCATCAAAATGATGATAAATAAAATAGAAAAATTAAAAGCTTTGAATTTGAGAAATTTGATTTTAAAGAGCAATCCAAACCCTTGTAATCAGTTCATTTGGATGAAAGTAGAAAGATAAACCGAATGGTGAAAGTTTTAAATAAATCGGACCAATAATGAGAAATAATAAGAAAGTTATGAATGTTTCAAATATGAGATCACTATAGCTATGCAAATCTCAAATTAGCAATTTTGTTTGTGGGTTGTGACGTAGTTTATTGTATTCTTTTGATTTGATATTTTCTCCCAGGTGCCTTCACCCTTGGGACATTTCTCAAAATATACTCTGAAGAGTATATTATTACAGGTCCTCTAAAAAGAAATGACCATCCCGAGTTTTTGAAAAATTTAAGTTTAGTCATTTTGTATGTTGAAACAAAGGTTGTCTACAACTTCATCACAGAGACATTACCAATTCAGCTAATTTGAAGAGCCCATATCAATGTTCATTGAAACTTTCAGAATTTCATAATTTTTGCCCGATTCCATTAAAACTATTTTTCTGCTTCCTTCTAGAGTAGTCTGCCAGTCTCAAGTTAGGATTTCCCTTTAAAATTTTATTTTGAAAAAATGTTTTAAAAAAAACACTTTGTGGCACAGTAGAGATTAAGATACAGTACTTGCCTGCCCTCACTGCTTCCAGTACTGAGTGCTGTGATGGAGGCAAGCATACTATTGATACCTCCCTCTATACCATGGCCGTCCAGGTGGGCCAGGGCTGTGGCTCCGCTCCCTGTGTGACGCAAGACAATGATGTGGCAAGTAGTGGCATCGTCAGAACCCAGGACCTTAACAACACCTGTAAACAACAGAGTAAATCATCACTAGAGGTTCTGGAACAAGCTGAGGCAATGACTGGTTAGTTTGTTTTATTTTTTCAATGACATAGGATGTGGGGTGGGGTTGCAAAAAGGTTTCAGGTGAGATTTAGGGTTAGGGTAAAGGTTAGGTATTGTGTTTGGTCCAGTGTCAGAAGTTCAGAATTTGGTTAACAGAGGATATTGTGTTGCTGGAGCATTTCTTGTAAGGCCCAGTCAATTGAAGGAGCTATCATATTGGACCCAGTCTAATTCAGGTTAAATACCAAGTCAGTGGTAATATCATTGTTTTGGGAGGACTTTCATCCCCAATTACTTAATTTCATGGATAGGACTAAAAGCTGGAGGTTCCCTAGAGCTTCTTCACAGGGAGAAGGTACTTCCATTTTAACTTCTAAGTAACATACAATAAAAACAATCAATAAAAACAGTAATGAACCAACTCATTTTCGAGTATGTACTTATTGGAGAACAACCAACCCTCTAACAGAGATCACTTGTGTTCCACTAATATTATCCAAATATCAGTTTTCCTTAAATGCATTGAGAACTAAGCTCAAGTATATTTAGGATAAGATTTTATTTAGGATATCTTTTTTTGTATTGAAACATATTTATACAGGGTAAAAACATGATCAGCAAAGCCGTTTTCATCATGGTGTTGATTAAGGACATAGAACAAACAAATACATAAATTCATAGATGAACATAACAAAACAACAAATCAAGATACTCACTATCACTTGGAATAGTGACAGCATATTCTCTCTGATTCACATAGAGAAGGTCTAGGGCTTCACAATGGCGTAATGGTTTGCTGCAGAAAGCGGCTGCTTCAACCTTCAAGAAGATAATGAAACGTGTGTAGAGTAACAGTCTAAATCATGAACCCTAAGTTTGGTCTATTGCCAAGTCAGAAACATAAAATACTTTTTTTGGGGGGGGGGGGTATGAATGAGCACTGGTTCCAATAATACTGATGAGTATATATGAACCTTTGAAGGTATGGCTCAGGAATAGCAACTATGAAAGTAGGATTACTTTTAGAAAAGCCACACGATAGATACACATGCAAGTAGGTCATTCTGGCTCAAGACCATCAGATATAATAAACAAATTTAATTGCATGAAGACTTGGAATTTTGAATCTTTGGGGATGAAGGGAGGTTTTCATACTATCATTCATATCATATCAAAATGTTAAAAGGAGTACTGGTGGACTATTTGTAAATTCTATTTCCTCAAGATGTTGAATTGTGTAACAAATACAAAGCTCATAACACATTTCTTACAAATCAGTTTCTTACTAAAAAATAATAAATTCCACCTCAAAGGAAATAAATCAAATAATGTAATGTGTATGGAGTTCATTGATTGTCCCATTTAGCTGCCTCCATTTCAAATTGCAATGGAGGTTTTGGGAAACAACTCTTTCTAATTTTAATCAAGGTGAAAGTACGCCATACCTGAAACTTAGGATAATCCTTAACCAACTGCATAACATTCTCCTTGGGATGGTAAAGCTTCCCATCGATCATGAGAGGCATGATGAAGAGAACTCTGGGAACACACCCCGGCAATACCACGGAATAAACCCCAAACCTCCTGACCCGTCGCCTGCTAGGTAGAAGAGAAAAAGTCATATTAGAATTTACAGTTTTGCTTGTTTATCATCTACGAATCATAGAATAAATGTGAATCAAACACACATGTAAATCTATGTTTCATTTAAAATGGATTAACTTACAGTAGTACAACTATAATCACCAGAATTATCATTCCGAGATTAAATAATGAAAAATGAACTTGAAGTAAAATTAGAAAGTGGGCCATTGATACATGAAACCTACAAGTACAAGTTCACCCACATTGATTGATTGAAATGGGTGTTAAATTAGTATGCTCTTTAATGGGATGTCAGTGAACTTGTACTTAAAATGTTTTCATAAAATGCTGCCCTGGGGAAAATCACAAAAACACAAGTAAGAAAGAAAAGAGAAGAGAAGAACAGAAAGAAGACAAAATGAAAAGAAAACATAAAAATGCCAAAAAATAGAGAGAAAAAAATTCACCCCAAAATAATTAATTGATAGAGACAAATAATTAAATACATGATTTACATATTGTCACCAGCTCAGTATAGAAGATAGAAAAGAAAATGAATTAATAGTGACTCTTTCTACAAATTAAAGGAAGTAAAATACATGATTAAGAATAAAGATATAATATTAACTAGATATAGTGGATAGAGAACAATTAAGAAAAGGGGAAATAGGGTCTAGAGGAGAAAAGAAGGGAGATATAATTATAAAGGTAATTGAGAATGAAAAATATAAGTATAGGACAATGAAGAAATAAAAGCATATACAGAACTGAAAGAAGAAAGAGCTAGTAAAATAGCCAAAAGAGCAAGACTTCATTGAAAAAATTAAAAAAAACAGAAATAACCCAGTCTTCTTAATTACTAGAATAGAAGTTAAGAACAAGGAAGTACAGGGGGAACTAAAAGCTGAACAAAAGGATCAGCTCTTCTTCATAAGAAAATAAAGAAATAGATAAATCAAGATCAAGTGTGAGAAAAGAGAAACAAGAAGGGGTAAAAAGCAAGAAGGAAACAGTATAGAGTAGTATTAACTTGAAGGGGTAGATGAAGAAAAAATGCAGAGAGAAAAATAAGATAAGAAAAAGGAAGTAAATTAAAAAAACATGAAGACAAAACTGAAAGTCATAAATTAATAAATGAGAGATTGATTGAAAGACAGAGAGAGAAAAATATTCCTAGTAAATAACGTTTTTGATTTAATCAAGAGGAAGAAGAAGACTATGCATCATAGACAGTGGGAACTGGGAAGTCCACCCACCACACACTTTTTCCCTCTGTTTTTCTCGATAGATCTACCGGTATTTCCAACACGAATTTAAGCGGATGGGACTTTGGTATGGTTCACCGACTAAAAATATTTACTGAAACACCTATTTCCACGCATTATTCAACGCTCAAACATTTCATGTTTGGCAGTTCAACCAATAACACAATACAGGCATACTTTATACTTAACGTTCATTTTAAATAAGCAAAATCATCAATTAAAAGTCAAACTTACAAAGTCACTTTTGCCTCCAAGCTTACACCGCGTATGGAATGCCAAATATGCTCCTCAAGTAATCCGTAGTTTTACCGATAATTATGTTGTTCACTAAAAGAACTGTTTGAAAACTTTATTTGGCTAATGCACAATGCATCGTATTTGTCCAGTATACCAGTATAGAGGAGTAGCCAACGGTACAACTACATAGATCTATACAACTTACAATGACAAGGTCAGAGGCGGCCCTCCCGGGGGGGGGGGGGGGGTGCCAGTGGCGTGCGCAGGATTTTTTCAAGGGGGGGGGGGTTAACATTTTGAAATTGGGCCGAAAATTTCGCAATGACTCACCCAGCCACTGTGGGGTGGGGGTGGGGGGGGGGGGTTAAAGGACACTTTTCTTTTTTTTTGTCCCCAAAAAATCGCAACGATTCACCCAGCCGCTGAATAAGCGAGGGGGGGGGGGGGGGGTAAGAGGACGCTATTTTTTTTTTTGGGGGGGGGGGGGTCTCAAAATTTGAAAAAATTCTTCGTTAGGGGGTGGGTAAGGTCACCTTTTTTAAGTCAGCAATGGACATGATTTTTTTTTTTATAATTAAAAAAACAAAACAAAAAAACGAAACAAAACCAAAGGGGGGGGGGTTTCCTACAAAATAAACACATAAAAATACCATAGGGGGGTTCAACCCCCAACCCCCCCCCCCCCCTGAGTACGCGCCTGGTTAGTGCCCCCCCCCCCACGTTTTCAATCACCCGAAAAGTGCCCCTTTAATTTTGTAAGAACTTACCCCCCCCCCCCTCCCCCCTAATGGGGCAAATGTCAATTTTTCAAATTTCGAAACCAAAAAAAAAAAAAATGTCCTCTTCTCCCCACCCCCGCTTATTCAGCGGCTGGCTGAGTCGTTGCGATTTTTTGGACAAAAAAAAAAAGTGTCCTCCCCCCCCCCCCCCCCCCCCCCCCCCCCCGCTTGCATATTCAGCGGCTAGTTGAGTCGTTGCGAAATTTCCGGCCCGATTTAAAAATGTTAAGACCCCCCCCCCCCCCCTTTAAAAAAATCCTGCGTACGCGCCTGAGAGTCCCATTAACTTCCGATGAATGCCCCTTTAAAATCTGATCGGTGCCCATTTTCTTTCAACTAATGCGCATTTTTCTTTATTACATGTGCCCCTTTTTCATTCACATGATATAATTATGTGACTTATCAAAGGCCTTTTCAGTCGTCCATTATGAGAATGTGCTTATAACCCTATCAGGATTTTTTTTCTTCTTCCCTCTTTATAAGATGTAATTTTTCGCACTGCAATCTCACAAATATTTAAACATTTCTTTTTCACTTCGCTCGCTCGCAAATAATTTTTCAGACCAATACACCCAACTGCAAAGCATGATGCATCTTGTATGGTGTATAAAGGTGCCCTTTTTTTCTTGGTGCCCCCCCCCCCTTTGGAAGTCACTCGGCCGCCCCTGGACAAGGTTACGATCGGTTTATACGGTTAGACCTCACCGTCACATAGCCAATATAAAAGTCCTTCACATCTTCTCAGAGCAAAATGTTCTGAATAATGTAGGTGTCTCTTTAGTTCGTTAGCCTCTGATTTGGGTAGGGTCGGCTCCTAAAATAACAGTAAGTCCTATAACGCGATTCAAGATTGCGCAATAACCAAAGATGAGAACATAATTATTCAATGATGGCGGGGGAGGAGAGGGGGTTGTAGGCCTAATCATTTTCAGTCAAGGCATGCTGGCACCAGTCTGTAGTCTACTAGATCATTGTTTTTCTTCTTTTTTTTAGTCACGCCACCCTTTTAGAAGTTGACAAGTTTCGCGTTACCCCCATTCAAAAATGCATCAAAGAGGATTCGTTTTCCATCCCTCGTATACATAACGTACTAGTAGGTCCAAGGGTAAATTTTCGCTTGAGGGCCGTGAGGACATTTTGCCCGAAAATATAGTATCCAGATCCGAGCGAACAAAGAGAATGGCACCTTTAATTTGTGAAAATCAATATCCACTATATGTTATTTATTAATTTATTTATTTCTAATCTTTTGACAGGGTAGCACTTTCACAAATAAGTATAATGCATAATGTATATAAAATGTAAAATTATGTATTCCGTCACCTGTTTCCTGGAAGCACCCCAATATGTCAATTTTGCGAGAAGTAAAGTGAACGAGGGGGGAAAAGACACTTTCTTCTGGTATAAATTTCATTTCGATATAAAAAAAAATACAATAAATAAGGTTATTCGAGCGGAACGCTGCCCGAATCCTGTCGATATTCGAGCATTGAGGTGCCCGAATATGGTCATATCATCATTTGGGGATATTCATAGACCTCGATCGCTGCCTGAAACCATCCCGTTTCTACATTGTGAGCGAGGAAAAATAAACGTTACTATCTCTGAAATGTTCTTTCCTTATCAAAATACCCAAAGTTATATATATATTGGGGCAGGGGCGGATCCAGCCGGCGATAAGGGAGCCAAATAGGGGGCCCAATTCGTGAGAAAATGTTTAGCGGGAATAAGCGGGGGGGGGGGGGGAGGGGGAGGGGGTAAAGAGCACCAATTTGTTTTTCTTCTTCCAAATTCGAGAACAAATATTAAGCGCCGAGTCTGCCAGCCGGCGAATAAGTGGGATGGGTAAGGAGCACTATTTTTTTCTTCCCAAATTCGTGAGAAAATATTTAGCGCCGTATCAGCCAGCCGGCGAATAAGCGGGGGAGGGGGGGGGGGGGGCAAGGATCACAGGGGGAGGGGGCCCGTCTTATTTTTTATTTTAAAAAAAGGTTGAATTTGCCTGTTTTGGGGGCCAGGGGAGGGGGCCTCCACCTAGATTCGCCACTGTATTTGGGCATCTTGCGGTTTCTGATACTTCGTTTTCATGAATTTGACGTTATTCCAAAACATATTTTGGATATAACTCAAATTCTCTCGCGGACCCAGGTTTATTGAAAACGCTGTCATGTAGATGGTGAACAATTGAGGGGCAGGTGAACCCTAGGCCTGGAGAAGATATACCCCTTGCTTCTTTAAAGTGGGAATATTGTGTATTTCGAAATGAAACGGACACGCATGCATACTCTCTCACTCTCTTTTCCATATTTCTTCTATCGGTCACTCATATCTTTATTTATTTTCCTTCTCTCCTATACACTACACCAAGGACGCAAATCAGATCACCCAAATCAGTTTTCGATAATCGTCCTCTTACAAAACATTATGATAAAGAAAAATCACCACTTGATTTGATGTTGAGTAAACAGAAACTGTAAACAGAAACTGTAAACAGAAACTGACTATTAGTGATTAGTGTTTGTAATGATAGTGATGATGACTTTTAATGACAACAGAGAATACCCCCCTCCCCATCGCTTGTGAATCTATCTCCTTATATTATCTTACGTTCTTTTTCCTTTTCCTTCATCTCTCACCTCTTTTCTTTTTTTTTTTGCCATTCAATACTTATTGATATCAAGATAAGACTATCAAATTTAATTCATCACCTACTACACAATTGGACTTTTTTTTCCTTCTCATTATGATGCCAAAAGTTTTAACGAGGAAAAGGGGGAATTAATTTTTCCCCAACCTACCAAACAAACAAAGGATACATCACCATCTTCTGGCTCTCTCTCTCTCTCTCTCTCTCTCTCTCTGCTCACTTTGCCAATTTGGTTTTGTTATGTTTTGGCACTAACAAAACAGACATTTATTATTCTCACAACTAAAACTGAATAAACATATGTCTTGCCTCCCTCTTTCTCCCATCGCGCCCCACCCTCTCCCAAAAAGGCACTATCCGTCTCTTTCCTTTCTCCCCTCTCTCTCTCTCTCTCCCTTTCTCTTTCTATAACTATCTCATCTACAGCCCCCTCCCTCTTCTACCCCACCCATCTATGTATCCAACACATCGATTGCAATGAAAGAAAGGTGTCTGAAACGAATAGATTTTCTGTTTGGGGGCAGACAATTCTGCATTATTGCAATATATGGGGATGTCTTCCTTCGCTCCATCAATATGGACTTTTAGATTCTGCACGACGAGAACGCAGACTGCCCTTTTAAGGCAATGTGACGTCACTGCCAGTGCCTTAAAAGGACGTCACGTTGCCTTAAAAGGGCAGTCCACGTTCTCGTCGTGCAGAATCTAAAAGTCCCTAATATCATACCACTCTTGACGCACAACATAAACCTTTTACCAGTGAACATTCAGACTCAAAGCTCGATACTCTCCACACACAAATAAGATACGAAATCATATACGATTTCCCATTTATAAGGCCGTTTATTACATGCAATAAACCATACTTTTTTTCTTCAACCTTAGCAATGTTTATATGTATCATCAACCTCTTTACAAGTTCACGACCGTGCGCTATGCATATACCCTGTTAAAATAACCGGCGTACTCTAGCATTTAAGCGTGTACATTATTAGTAAAATACGTGTAACTTAGTTTTAGTGATTTCATCTAATAATCAATACCTACATTTTTATTTTGACAGTGCATAGCTGATTAAGGAAACGCCGTCACATCCAACGAATGACAACGACAGATTCCAAAAGTGTTAGAAAAAAGAAAGTTAGTCAAAGATTTAGCAGTGCTATTACACCTTAAGAAAAAATGTTATGATACAATAATAATAATATTGCTATATAGTGCTCTTCTATATACGCAAACGAAATATCTATATAAAAAAAAACAATATATGAGAAGCCATTTCGAAACAGGAGGGAACAACATAATTTTCAACGATTCCTTAAGCAAACAGTCGGAAACCACGTCGCAACCTAGACATAATAATATTCATTAACAAATTACGATTTTACGGTTCTAATCTTCAAATCTTTTAGTAGTAAATAGTATCTTTTGTGTCTCAACTAGGCCAAATTATTTAGTGTCTGCAAGCATTGCGTGCACCTATGGAGAAAAGACAATAATACTAAAATTCTACGCGACGCCTTTAAGTTACATTATTGCTACGCCATTAAAAATGATGCAGAAATAATTCCAGTTTCTTCATCATTATGATACATAAATTAATGTTACGTCATAGCAAAAACAATCGAATATTTACAGGCGTAGTACACATTTGAAAGACCAAAAAATAAAAACCAGAACTTTAAAAAAAGAGAACAGAATGGATACACATTTTAAATGGATAATAAAGTTGGAATGATGTTACTTTCTAATGACGGCGTGCATGATGTCTTCATATGAAAATGTATAACGCTCACATGTACAATCAATAAAGCTGCAGAGAAGTTACAAACGAGTACAATGTTATGTAATAACAACTGCCTTGTCATTTCAAAGTTGCTTTGCCTTATTTATAAGCAATATATCAAAATAGATCCTTTGGAAGCTGAAAGGAATCGTCATTGAGTCGTGCTGTCTGTGCGGGTATATGTCATTCTTCCAACCAACAAGAGCCCACTGTCGACCACCATTTCCAATATGAGTTTCTCTTCCAGTGTGTGTGTTTTTCTTTTTTTAGGAATGTGAATTTCAAAATATGTACAAGATAGGATGGGGTATAGGGGATATATAACTCACACACGCACAACGTGAGGGAAATTTCAAAGGCATATAGAGGGAGGTATAGTCCAAGTTTATCTTTCGCTGGATATGGTATGTTTGAGTCCAAACGTACAATGATTATTATGAAGGAAAATGATATCAAGTGCATGTTGGAAAAAATAATAAAATGTTAACACTGAACTACTCATGTTGTAAACCACTGAAATCCCAGTGAATTGGCAATGTAAGTGATATTTAGTAATTTTCATGAACTTTGAGAATCATTTTGGAATGCAAATGTTACATTTGAAAGAAGCAAGCAGTCCTTTATATGCTTATGCCAAAAACACACTCATCACATACATACAACAGGAATTATATACCTTCTGAGATAATACACTCATCATTCATTTACTATACAATCATAAATGTGCATAGCAAGTTTTTGTTCGGAATCAAAATGTATGTTCCATTATCAACAGAACAGACAAGAGTGCAATGTGACAATAAAAAAGTATTGATATATCCATGGTACATCAATATATAATGTGTACAAAAAACCTGCTATTTGTAATTTCTATCACAATCCAAACAGCTATTGCCAATATTAAATCACAATCTGCATTTTGCATGATCTTCATGAATGGTATTTAAGATATTACACCCTGTTTACATTTTCTATATGATTGATTTTTACCGGTATATTGAAAGTATCTGTAAAATCAATGTCCACCATGCCCTATACAAGTCGAATCTATTCGTGCATTTCAATCCACTTTTATATCCAAACTTGACGAAAGATCTGTTTTATTGTTCAAAAGTACAGTCACAACAATACACCTGGGCGAGCGGTGCGGCAGAGACTGTTCAGTGCTTCTGGTATGCAAGAGTTGTCACGGACACTGGCTGCAAATTTATCATTCCAAATCTTTTTGAAAATCCATTCCATTCCATTTATTCTATTTTCAAGCCTGATTTTAAGTAGCATATACCACCAGAATTGATCTCTATTTATGGCTATAATACAGCACAAAACAGAGGTTTTTTATGGGTTTTTTGAGACAGGTACAACCAATATTTGAAGATACTGGATAGTCATCTATTCTTCTAAATTTCCAGAGACCTACTTCCATTTCCTTTCAGTTGATATTAAGTGATCAATTTACCTTTTAAAAATGAGGGATAATGGAAGTCAGTATGCCAAGGCAATGAGAAAATATGATCCTAAAGATCCCACCAGAGTATGAAATAATTATTATGCACCTTTGAAAATATTTTTGTATTAAAAAAATGTACAATATTTGCAATTGATATAATAGATAGAGTGGCTGGCTTGTCAGCTACTCTACTTCTGATTTGGATTTGGCTTCTTTCAAGCCCAATTTGTTTAGAATTCCCACAGTGTGTCCTTTGAGACCTCGGAACCATTGGCGGTAAACAAGCCACTCTGCTCGCCCTTGATCAACATGCCGTTGCTCTCTGCTCTGATAGCAAACTTGGAGAGCTCATGGAACTCGAAGAAGAAAGTACCTGCTGCCTCTCCAAGAACGATGCGGCTACTGTCATCACAAGACCAGTACTTGCCACAGGAGTCTGAATAGTCAATTTGAAAAGTAAGAAAAAATATACATTATCAAACGGGAGTGAATGTTAATCGAGTTGGGAAAAAAGATAAAATGCTCGTGAATTTAGAGAGTAAATGTAACTGTCAGATTCAGTTGCAATGATTGCTTGGTTTTAGAAACGAAAAAGAACTGAAAATAATGACCAGACAATTTTAAAAAGGAAAATCACACCATTATGCATCTCTGTAGCACGATTCAAGATATAGGAAGTTGTCATAATGGTTTTGAGGACTCCAATCCCAAATCAACAAATTGGTACAACCTTCAAGAACAAGGCATACATCTTGATATCAACAAGCATGTTCATAAAGAAAATAATGTTGACACCAACTCTCGTATTGCCTAGATAAATCCTGGCTCCTTAGAAAAAGAAAATAAGAAAATAAATGTGAACCAACCTTGGATAGTGTATCCGCCTTCCTTGTAGGTGACAGTGAAGACATCAAAGTTTGATCGGTTGCAGGCGACCTCAGCCTTGCCCTCCTTCATGCCCACGAATCCATGAGGGCACTTGAGAACCAGCTTGGGTCGGTTGAGCAGACGGAAGATGAAGTCTTTGGGTGAATCCTGAAGGAAGAGATGGCCGTTGTCACGGACACTAACATACTTGCCTCCTGGAGCACGCACATGCATGTGCTTGCCGTTGTATTCGACAGAGAATTGACAGTCCGTCTGGTCCCTAGATTAAAGAAAAGACAGTAATATATTATTATGTTTATACTTGCGATAAAAAAAACTTCTGAAACTTTCTTTCTGCGCTTTCTCGAGAAAGATACAGCTCACGTTTTCAGGCAATTGTAGCTAACAAATTAAGATGAAAGTAGCTTAGTTACATGCATACCCATTTTGGTTTTTTCTTTTCTTTTAGCTTTGTTGCTACATCTAAAAAATGACCCTTACTTTTACCAGTTGGTAATTTCGGGCCAAACTTGTCAGCAAATTTGGTCCACCACCACTTTCCCCATTTAAAATGATCTAGCTACACCTCCAAAGAGCATTTTTACTTACTTTGAGTTGCCGTTAGCCTGGATACCAGCAGCGACGGTCTTCCAGAACTTAGCATCTCTGGAGTTCTTCTTGGGGTCACATACCCTGATGGCGTACTTGTCGGTTTCAACAAACTCCAACTGGAAGGTCTCTGTGTCTTCGATCTCTTCGTCAACAAGAAGCTTGAATGAAACATCTTCGCCTGCAGGTAATCGAAAGAGAGAGAGAGAGAGAGAGAGAAAATTTAATAGTGAATCCATGTGTTTATAATTGTGTGCAGCTTCCAAAGAACAGGGACAAAAGCATTTTGTATTCATGGGTGTGAAATGCCCTCCCTTTTCGGTTTCTAATCGTAACTTGTTTAAAAGTCAGTGAAAGCATAGAGAACCGACCAAATTGCCAATTTGAGATTTTTTGCTTCCAAGTGAATGAAGTTATTACAAGGGTTATAATTGCAATTTATAAGTCCGTGCATGAATCAGAGCTAGACAGAGAAGAGAAAATAATGACTTCTTGTTCAGATGCATCTCCTTAAGTGAATCACCCAAGGCATAGTTGATTTTCCGCGAAACGTTAAACCCCATTGGAAAGTAATCACCGACATCAATGTGTCATGATGATGATGATGAGGATTACACACTCAAGCATGACAAGATTGTTATGTAATTCCTGCTGTAATGTCACTTGTGTTGTTTTGAAGCAAGATCTGATCATAGCAAACTGTTCTACATTTCCTCATCACAAAGGGCAAATAAAGATTGTTGGTCATCAAGAAAAAGTCGCTGACATCCGCTGTAAACAGATGTGATTGATTCAGAACTTCAGATATGGTAAAAAAATATGGTCATGATGGTGATCAGGTCAAGACTTGCGATTTTGTTTCAGGTTAGATTTATACTTTAACCCATTGCCTACTGGAACCTGGTGGCCCCTGTATTAAGCCTATGGCAATCAATTAATTCAGTAGTTAACGGGTTAATATAAGAGTATGTTTAAATAGTGCTGGGTGACTTGTGTCCACAGTTCAAGTTTGAAAGTTCAAGTTTGAAATTTCGAAGTTGACAACGGAGTTATCTTCGCCGAAGCACGTGTTGTACAATCGAAAGTAATTTATTTTGGAAACAAAAAATGTTGTGGTAAATAGACGACTATTGCTAACGAAACTGAATACCGCAAACTTATTTTAAAATGGGAATTGAGACTCGTATGAGTTTAGAGGATGTTTAATAGTTAGGTTATGAACACTTGAGAAAGCTCATCTAACGAATTATCCAGTTCGACAATGAATCTATTCATATGTATCTTTCAGTTTCATGACATCTATACTGTCTGTCATCTAGTGTTTTAGGTGCTAAATTTTCTAGTGATTATAATACATCCACAGGGGCATCCAGATATATCAAAATTGTAAAGAATCACTATCCAGCCAATTTTCAAAATTTCCCCAAACTTTGTATTACCTTTTAACGTAGCGATGTCGATTTAACGAGATATTCAGTTTTACTCTCAACCTCTCGGGACTATTTGTGTTTTGTAAGACCCTTGTAAGGTTTATTAACAGATCTACAAAACAATGACACCTACTATTTGAGTTAATATAAAACGATATAAACATGGTAAACATCGAATGGATTATAGTTGCCTGATCTCGGCATACCCTTCGAAGTTTATTCGTTCGCGTTGTCTCCAAATACCGCTTTGATTTTCACCATGTCTACTCTTTGTTTGTACTCGATTGGTTTACAAAAACAACAAGTAAACACAATTTGTTCATTTACCTGTAAACTTTGGGGAAAATGTTGCAACCCGCCATCTTGACATTCCTGCGTAATGCCGAAACACTGACGTTTTCTGCTAAATTACCACTTTATTGTGTTTTTCGGGAAACTCTGGAAACACAGGAATGCAGATTATGTAATAGTTTGCGAATGGAAGGCTACTTGGAATGTTGATTTGTAATTACCAGTAGTAAACATACATTCGCTAATCAATTGATGAGATTTGTCATGTCATGTTAATGCAACGTTTATCCAGAAGCTAAGATGATAAAATAGAGCCAAAATGTCTACAAAATCTTCGACGGTAATGCTATAAATTTCAGAATGCTAAAATAACACTGAACAGAAAAAGAATATACTGAGACATTTCTCAGCTTTGCCGCATCGTCGTTGTAAACAAAAGACATGAAACTTGCAAATTGGATGAGAGAACGAGTGATGTTAGGCTGTACATGAGAACACGGTGAACATTGACATCATTGATAACGGATACAAAAGAAATCCTATAGTAACCCCACAAGTATGTACAACTATTGCCCTATAGTGTGATATTCATGGGCCTTGACTTTATTGATTGATTCAAATAGAACACAATTTGATATCAATCGTAGGTCTTTGCTAAAGAGATATGAGTTTGTTCGTTTGCGACTGACTGGACGACTTGTCTTCAGTCCGGATCAATCACCCTTTGGGCCTAAACAGGGCACTCGTCTTTCTGACTTCCAAGGCCCGTTATCATGGATGTTTATTTGTCTATTTATAATTATATTGCGTACTCCCCCAGGTAGGACCTCGATGTAAGTAAACATTGTATACCTATACAAAGTGCCATAATCATTATCCAGATTAGAATATCCTTTCCTACGTCATAGGGCTATGTTCAGCAGATCATTTAACGTTTACTCAGCGACTCCAATACACCTTTATCTTTTCTATGGCGCGCCTCTTTGACTTCGTATACAATAGTTTAATGACCTAGAAACTTTGATTACAGTATCACACAATATCTTTTGTTTTATTATCCACCCACTCCCTAGTGCTAAGTAAAGGGTAGATATTGTTTAGTTCAATTGACATGAGGGAGTCGAACATGTCGTTTGAATAACTGGGAGTATCTTCAAAACGTCATATCAAACGCTATTACAAACACCAAATACTTTCGTCTCCGCGAGAGGAACCCACGCTCTAAAAGGCCCTATTCTTCGTTAAACTACTTCTCATTTTTATTTAAAGTCATAAATCTCATGACAATGGTGTGTCCTACCCATCCTATCGCCAATCACCTTGTATTCTATCAATGTCTACTGCTTGCTTCTTCCTATATTCTTTATTTAATATTTCACTCTTCCTAACATCTTTTTGAAAATCATATTTCATCAGCGTATACAAAAATTAATTTCTACACCACTTTAACTTCACTTCCCAAGGGAATAGTAATGTGATACACACCATAGGATATACCCGGATTCAAGTAGCCGATCTCATTATCTTTCCAAAGTGAAATAGAAGTTAGAACAAGGAAACAATATAAAAGTGTTCCTGTTTTTACCGTTATTTAAGAGCAGCATCGGACCGAAATTCATAATCAGCATGAAATATATCAATTTCAGTCTCTCGGCGGCGTAGCCTCTCGTTGTCCGCAAATAAAACCTGTATCATTCATTAATTGGTATTCTAGCAAACAGCACAGCTGAAACGCCCAAGCATGACGACTCAATAAATTATGGCATCATTAAGACAGCAAACGAGACCCAGAACTATTATCATTGCTAATGAAAATGACAGCGCTGCCAATGACATTGGATACGTCGGAGGCTGGTCGAATACTTAGCTGGGCGAGCTCATGCTGGGTGATGTTTGCTATACCACCACTAAGGGGGTAGACGCATCATTAGGCATCATTTCTAGTTTAAAGGTAAAGTGTACTCGTTTTGATTCAGTAAGAAAAGGTATGGAATTAATTACGACAGAATATTATCTGAAATTATGCATATGCAGTTTAATGCTCTTGAGCTCATAATATGATAATCATCTCATACTACACTGCTTAGTGCTTTTACTGCTTTTGTTAAACAACTTTAATAGAGCTCTGTAATTTCGTAACGATTAGTGCTACACCACATCTTCCGACTGCCCATGAATCACTTTGCATTCATCATGTTCATATTGGAGACTTCAAACGTACAAAGGCTACTCACATCCACATCGATCAAAACAGATTGACACATTCATGCATTGGAAGACGGTCTGTCCAAGGACTTTTGTCACCTCCCTGGTTGCTGTGATAGATCACAGAATACGATATAAACATTGTACATCATCTACCGAGAGCCGAAATGGCAATAACCCAAACATTTCAAACACACTAGTTAATGTCCTTCTAGAGCTCTCTAAGATGACTATAGTGATAATGCCTAGATAGGTTGCCATGATAAAGCACAGATGACAATGTGGTGATGCATGGCTTTAATTTTCTAATTCCATCCTGCCACACATCGGAGGTGTCAACCAAGGCGCAGGTGTGCTGTATGATCGTCCCATTGGTCATCGTACACTGCACGGGATTTTAATATCATCACAATCATATCTATATTCATATTATGACCAGATTATCACCAGATATATCTCCACCTCCCCCACTAACGGTTCTACAGCCTTACAGGGGGTTTAAGAACGAAAAAGTTGTAATAAGTATTGAATTTAAGCGACGTACATTTAGAAAATAAATGCTAGAACCCCACGGCTCCCCCCTCTCTCTCTCTTTCTTCCTCTCTCTCTCAAAACGCGCACACACAAAATGTACACAACAGTGAGATTTTCCTGTCATAATAATCCACCCCCTCTCTCTCTCTCTCTCTATCTCTTTCTCTCATCCTCTTTCTCTCTCTGCCCCATTCCTCTTTCTCTGTTCACCCCTCTCTCTCTCTGCAAAACATAACTATATTCACTTTAGTCTAGACATTTCTAGTAGTTTCCTCATCTAAGTGTTAGGCTATAAAGTAACAATTTCTATCGAATCCAAAGTGCTTTTACAAGGTTCAAATTTCAGTATCATTGTATTTTCAATTACTCACAAAGCCGACAGCGTATGCCAAAACAAACGCATGCACGTGTCTTAAAAATCGATCGTATATTTATTATACACGACACTATAAATATTATGGACACATACTAAAACCATGTCACAGCACACCATACAATGAGTACAGCTTCAATACTGTTGCTTACAATCTATTTTTGTTTTAATGTAGCATAACTATGAAAATATCCAACCCATTTTTGTTTCTTTTGGTGGAAACTCTATATTTGACAAGGAAGTTACTGTGATCGAATTAATTATCCTTCTTCAACAGCAGTGTATACTAGCATTATAACATGGAGGTTCGGTGCATAATCAAATCATCAACAGGATATAGAGCATTTC